TGATAAAATGCGAGAAGCTTGCTACCATGCCTCCCTCCCAGTTCTCCGGTCAGGCTGGTATGTGCCAAGGTTCTTGCTCTTGGCAAGTAGGTGGAGATGGCAGACCAGTTTTCTTCAGCAAATGCCTGTCCACACAGCGTAGCCCCACCCCCACCACCCCCAGGATACGGAGCACAGAAGGGCTCCCTCTGGAGGTCCTAAGGGCCTCAGGGAGTGGGAGGCCCCACCCAGAGCCCTGGAGCGTAGGCAGGCTGTCTGAAGTTGAAGCTGCAGAAGGCTGGTCAGGGGTGACGGTAACTGGGAAGTGTTCTGAAAACAGAATGGCCGGGGTCTGCCAACAGATTGGACGTGAGGTGAGGAGAAGGGTGACAGTAAGGTTTCTGGCTTTCGTGACTGTGGGGAATAGGACTGACCAGTCCGCAGCTCCGACACCTGGGCTGGGACATTGACTTGGGAATCTCTGGCATCCAATGTAGTAGCCACTAGCCACATGGGAGCAGGATAAAGAATGGAGGGGGCGTGAGGAGGTGTGTGGAGGGACGCAGAAAGAGGGTTGGGACACTGAGCCTAAGAAGGGACATGTCCTGTCACAGCAGGAGAGAAGAAAAAGAAGATACCAGATTTGAGGGCAGATAGTTGCGAGTCCCGTTTAATGGTTATTTTTCACCTAGTTTCTCAGATTGGGGGAGTACAAAATGGGGAGAAAGGACAGGAGGCCGGAGTGTGACCGACTTGTTGGTCTCAGAGCTGCCGGGGTGATGATGAGACAGGGCAGTGGGGGTCAGGGGGTGGCTGGCCCCTTTCTAAGACGCAGCCCCTCTCTCCTTGGCAGGACCCCCAGCCGAGCCCCTGGAGCCCACACGGCCTCTCCCCACGCTCCCCGTCCGCAGGATCCACTCGCCGTCTGAAAGGAAGCACGAGCGCCAGCCCAGGCCCCCTCGGCCGCCCCTCGGGGACCGGCCATCCACACCTGGAGCCAAACCCAACATCTGTGATGGCAACTTCAACACAGTGGCCCTCTTCCGGGGAGAGATGTTTGTGTTTAAGGTAGGGCCAGTCGACTGCCACCTTCCAGGGGTCTCTTCCCATTTCTTTCCCTCCATGGAGCCAAAGAAGGCTGAGGTTCCGGGATTCAGCCTGCTATGGGGCCTGGATGAAAGGCGGCCCAATGGCCAGGACAAGGGTCTCTTCCTGCTGCCGCTGAGTAAATCAAGAGGGAGGCAGGAAGACCAGCGACCCTGAACCTTCCTGGGGTTAATGCTGGGAAAGGTGCTGGAGACCAGCTTCTGGTCTGTGCCTTTATGCAAGTTGCCTCCCTGCTCTGGACCTCAATTTCCTCATCTGAAAACTAGGGAGTCACTCCCCTAAGACGGGTGTACAAAGATCAGATAGCGCGTGGCCATGAAGGTGGCGGCCTGGAGTAGGGGCTGGCACAGTGGTGGCTGCGTCCGTCCCCAGATCCTACCAGGGCTGACAGGCCGGTACTGAGGTGAGCCTGACGGAAAGGAAGCCAGGCTACATCTGGTCACCGGTCTGGTCCTGTCCTGCTAGCCCTGGGCTGACCGAGGGGGCGGTCTGCTTGGTGTGTGGCAGTTGGGTTCTCAGGGAAGCAGACTCTGAGGTGGTGTTTGGAAGGCAGGAGTTGGAGGAGAGAAGGGGGATCGGGCAGGAGGAGGAGACAGGCCACCGCTGGGCCCACTGCAGACGCATCCATCCCCAGAGGTCTCTGCAGCTACGTCTACTGGTCAGAATTATCCCACTTTAGGGCCCCGAGGGCTGGAACTTTATACCCCTGCCCACTGAGCCAGCAGATAAGGAAGGACATGACCTTGGGGGAACCCTCTGAAGCTGGGACCATCCCGAGCGGCTGGCCACACTCCCAGCCTCAGAGGCAGTAAGCCCTCCAGGGAAGGGGATCTGGATGGCACCTGTCCGTCACTCTGGGAGGCTGTGGAGGACCGTCCACTCCCCTCGTGGAGTTCCCCCCAGCAGGCTTTGAGCACTGATCAAGCATCAGGCGCCCTGGGTCAGCCTAGTCCTGCCTCTCACCGAGTGGCTCTAGGAAAACCACCTAAGGCTCTGTCTATCTCAGATATACTTACAAGAGGTGTGAAAATCAAAATAAGGTTCAAAAAACTGGATGTGGAAGTGCCTTGTAAAACACCTTTAAACACTCTTTCCAGCTGCTGCGCCATCTTTAGGAGTCACGTTCGTTCCTCTGTATTCGTGCATCTCCCACTGAATGGCTCCTGGGCAAGTCTAGCTTTTCTCATCCTCATTTACACGTAAGAAAACCGAGGTCCTAGGAGGCATGGGCCTTGCCCAGCGTGCCCACAGCCGGGGGCCGCAGTGGGACGAGGCACCAGTCTGAAGAGGAGGGCTTTTATCCTACACGTCTGCCATTTAGTCCACCTTGACTATATGCCCCATACTGTTCTAGGCACTTTGCCTATAATCTCTCATCTGACTGCTCCCCCCGCCCCCACCGTTACTACCCGCATTTGCAGGTGGGGCTCTTAAAGTGCTGTGCCCAAGGTCACGCAGCTGTAAGTGGGGAAACCTGAATTCACACCCAGGTCTTGGGAGAATTCCCACGGTTTGCTTCCCATGGTCCTTGGCCTGCTGGATGGAGCCAGCCATGTATGAGGAGGTCGTTCTGCCCAGGATCAGTGACCATCTCAGCTTCCCACCAGCCCAGGCAGTGGCCCTGTGGACCTCAGTGACTCTCTGCTGCCCTCATGTGGCTACTCTGGGCCCAGGCATCATCCCCTTTGGCTCCTCCACACCTGGTCCCCGCCATCAGACCTCTCTGCTCTGTCTCATGGCCCCTCCCACAGCAAGAGCCATCTGGAGGCTTAGTGAAAGGAGTTAACGAGCATCCTGTCTTCCTCACAGGGCCTTGAAAGTTAGAAGCAGTAAATGGAAAGGTTCTGAGGCCGGGCCCAGGGGAAGGTGGTGGGCTGCTGGACTGAGCACTGGGTTCAGAGGCTATGCCTCTTCCTCTCTTCCTCAACCCCCCAGGATCGCTGGTTCTGGCGTCTGCGCAATAACCGGGTACAGGAGGGTTACCCCATGCAGATCGAGCAGTTCTGGAAGGGCCTGCCCGCCCGCATAGATGCAGCCTATGAAAGGGCTGATGGAAGATTTGTCTTCTTCAAAGGTAATGTGGCCTGTGCTGAGGGACCTGGGATGGTTCTCTGCCCTCGGGACCCGATTTTGCCATCTGTAAACTGGGAGAGGTGGATGGGAGGCAGGTGCACTACCGGTCCTTCCAGTCCTGACAGAGACACTGGCCTCAGCAGGACAGACCCCTGCTGGCAGGCAGTACACGTTCTGAGGAAGTCAAGTCAGGAAGTGCTTGTTGGGGGTCATATGAGCCCAAGTCAGTGGGGCGACAAGTCTCAGTCACGTGCAGTAGAGGGCTGAACGGGCCATTGCAGAGCACTGGTGTTCCCTGACAGGCCACCGAGTCAGTTCTGTAAGAGTCCGGAGGGAGGGGGTCACACAGCCCAGAGGCTAGAGAGGTCAGGAAAGGGGGTGGGGCTGGCCAACGTGAGCTGCACGCCCACCGGGTGCCCTCCCTGGGCTAGGTGGTTTCACTTCAGTTATCTGACCTCGGCCAGGCCCCGGGAGGCTGAGACACGGACAGTTAGTGAGAAGCAAGGAAAGCATTTCAAGGGGGAAGGAACAGCATGGGCGAAGGAGAGTGGGAACACGCACGTGTGTGGCACCCCGAGTTGGAAAGCTGTGAGGAATGGCCTGAGGGGCACTTTGGGGGTGAGGCCTGAGGAGCCTTATTTGCCAGGCCAGAATTTAATATTGATCCATTAGGGCAACCCCGAAAATCCACTGTTTCCGAGCAGCAGAGAGCTAGAGGGCAGGTGCAGAGGTGGGAGGCCGTTTCTGAGATGGTTGCTGGGAGCTGAGGAGAGCGCAGTCTGTAAGGCGCACAGCAGGGGGCAGCAGTGAGGCTAGAGACACCCAGAAGACCAAAACCAGGCCTCGAAGAGGCCGAGCACTGAGAGGAAGAGGAAACAGGGTCGAAGGTGACACTGGCACCGGTTAGGGACTCTGGGAAGCTGAAAGTGAGGAGGGAGGCAGCCCCCTGTGGTGGCGGTGAAGAACTCCAGGGAGCCGCCTTGGAAATGCCCAGAGGCTGGTGGCCCATCAGGGTGCTGTGTCTGGTGCCCAGATCCACTGGGAGACGGTGGATGACACTCAGAGTTGGGTGTCACTGGTGGAAGGCGGGGGTGGGCGGGAAACACTAGTGTGTGTGAGTGGCTGAGGTCACCCAGAGAAGAGAAAGGAGCAAGTCCCACGAAAGGAAAGAGGGTAAAACGTGGAGCCTGGGAGCATGGAGTGAGTTGCTGGGGATCTGTGACTGGCTTCTGGCTTCTCGCTCCCTAAGCTTTGCCTGGGCCAAGAGGCCTCCATCTCCCACTGAGGGGATCCAGCAGGCCTAGGGCTGTTTCCCCCAGACACTCTGGCTCCAATAATGACTTCAGACCCTGTAGAAGATGGGCAAGGGGCACTAGCCACTACTTCTGGCATTGAGTGTCTGGGCAAGGCTGATCCTGGGCTCCTCTTGGCCACAGGTGACAAGTACTGGGTGTTCAAGGAGGTGACGGTGGAGCCTGGGTACCCCCACAGCCTGGGGGAGCTGGGCAGCTGTCTGCCCCGAGAAGGCATTGACACGGCTCTGCGCTGGGAACCCGTGGGCAAGACCTACTTTTTCAAAGGCGAGCAGTACTGGCGCTACAGTGAAGAGCGGCGGGCCACAGACCCTGGCTACCCCAAGCCCATCACCGTGTGGAAGGGCATCCCACAGGCCCCCCAGGGGGCCTTCATCAGCAAGGAAGGATGTACGTAAGGGCCGGGCTGGGTGGGAGGGGTCCCAGCAAGGCCCATGGGCACCCTCTTGGGGTACCCAGGTTCGAGAAACACCTGGGGGCAGACAACTGCCTCATATCCACCCACATTCACACAGTAAATTCTCCTACCAGCTACCAAGCCACGGTTTCTCATCTTCAGGGATGAGTCGAAGTTGAGAGGTGTTTTCACAGACTGACGGCATTCCTTCAGACAGCCCTCCTCAGTGGCCCTTGGGGTGCTCTCGGAGTTCCTCAAGTCATCGCATCTGCAAAGCAGTGAGGGATATGGTGATTCGAAGGAGACTTTCCACAGGGCTTGAGGGCAGGAAGGTAGAGAGAGAAGCCTTTTTGATTTATGAGACATTTTCCAAGCTCCTCCCAGAAGCCAGACGAGGAGCTTCTCAAGAGGAGGGGCTGGGTCTTGCCAGGGGCAGAGTGGCATCCACAGATGTTCGTTGAACACATCTCCACTGACAGGATCAAAAGCACAGCCTGGCTGGGTTCACACCCCATCTCCACCCCTTACTGTGAGTTTGGGCAAATCACTCATTTTCTAAGTTCGTCGTCTATAAGATAAGGATAACGATGGTACCGGTCTCTTAGGGTTTTGTAAGGATTAAACAAGATAAATCATGTAAAGCCCTTAAACCAGTGCAGAGCACATGGCCAATGCCATATGTTTTAGCTGCTATCATCATCATCATCATCATCATCATCATCATCATCAGCTTGGCGGTGCGTTTTAGTTCATATGGAATGACAGATTCATTCACTCCACAGAGATTACTTATAACCAGGTTGTGTGGGAGGGCAAGGATAGAGCACACAAACAAGGCTTGTATTGCCTCCTGGCTCCCAGGCTAGAGGCAAAAAAAAGCAGCAACAAAGGCTGTAAGGGGTAGAAATGTAGAAATGCTGTGAGAGGACAAGGAGGCAGAGGGGCCGCGTTAGAGAAGGTCCTTGGGAAGGACTCTGAGATGTCCCTGGTAAGAAAGCCGACAGCCACAGGGACAGGAGCGGCAGCTATCTGGTGGCTCTCCTGTGTATCTAATGCTTTATACACGTGGTCTTGCTTTCTGGGCAGCCTCAGAGACGGATGACATCAAGGACCTTGGCCAATGAAAGTCCCGGCCGGGGGGGAGCCGGCCAATGAGAGCCTTCTGAGAGCGTTGCTTTCCATCTCTGCACTGGCTGGTGGCTGAGGCTGTTGCTGGGCGCCTTGGGGTAGCCCTCAGCCCTGCTCCCTTTTTTCCTTCCAGCCCATCCCCTAGAAGGATCCCAGAGACCCTGCAATCAGTGTTGCAAAGCGATGTGTGCCAAGCCAAAAAAAAAAAAAAAAAAATCCCTGATAAATGTGAAGAGATAGTGTCTGCTGTCAAGAGAAGGAGAAGTCCTGCTCCCTGCCTCCCTTGGCTCAGGCAGGAGCTGGACTGAGGCCCTACAGCTGTGGAGACAGTGCTGTCCAAGCCCCAAACTGGGGGCTCGATCTGACCCACCTGAGGGCGCCTGTGGAGCAGTGTGACAGGACTGAGAAGGCCCCCATCTGGCAGGCACAAACTGAACTTACCAATTCTACTGAAAGCCCCTCAATGGCTGCTCCAGGTCCTGAGTGCCCATCTCTGCAGCTACACTATTTGCAGGATGCGCCAAGCTCTGCACTCCCCCACCCCCATGTGCCAACACCCTGCCCCCAGCACCTCAGAAACCCACCCCTCCTTCAGAGCTCCTCTGAAGCTGCCCTGGGGCGGGAGAGGTGCCCCTCCTCCATGCTGCCACAGCAACCCACACCCTCACCCTGGCCCAGAGCGGGTGTGGGGCACGTGTCTGGGAGTGGCACTAACACGGGGCTGTGTTTCTGCAGACTACACCTACTTCTACAAGGGCCGGGACTACTGGAAATTTGACAACCAGAAACTGAGTGTGGAGCCTGGCTATCCGCGCAACATCCTGCGTGACTGGATGGGCTGCAATCAGAAGGAGGTTGAACGGCGCAAGGAGCGGCGGCTGCCCCAGGATGACGTGGGCATCATGGTGACCATCAACGACGTGCCAGGTTCCGTGAACGCGGTGGCCGTGGTCATCCCCTGCATCCTGTCCCTCTGCATCCTGGTGCTGGTCTACACCATCTTCCAGTTCAAGAACAAGGCGGGCCCTCAGCCTGTCACCTACTATAAGCGGCCAGTCCAGGAGTGGGTGTGAGCAGCCCAGAGCCCTCTCTGTCCACTCAGTCTGGCCAGCCAGGCCCTTCCTCACCAGGGCCTGAGGGGCAGCTCTGGCCACTGCCCACTGGAGCCAGCAGGGCCCTAGGCCAGGGGTCATGTAGTTGAAGTGGTGGGTGCATTGGCCTAGGCTGAACGTGGGGCAGGGAGCGATCGCAGCTGTGCCTGAGAGTGGCTGTCCGGCACCCAGACACCAGCCTTCTGTCCTGGGTAAGCTGCTCCCTACTCAAGGCAGCAGGCCAGGCACCAAGCCAGGAGGAGGACCTGTGGTCACTGCATCCGGTGGTGTCCATGAGACACCACAGCTTGGCTCCTGGCTGGACCCAGCACCTTCTGTGGGAAGCCAGCACTAGCGTTCTCAGCCCCATCTGGGAGAAGCCACCAGTCCTGGTCCCTCTTTGCCAACACCTGCTGGTCAGATGTACCCTCCACCCATACCCCACTGTTCTCCAAGGCTACAGGATCCCTGCTGCCAACACGGTGGGTAACGAGATGGGTTTCCCCTGCTGGCATGCAGCAAATCCCTCCGGAAACCTGCTCCGTACATCAGGGTCTCCTCTGAGACCCAGGACTTAGGGTCACAGGCTGCAGGCAGGGCTGTGGCCCCGCTGGGTCTCACAAGGACCTAGCTGTCACATCTTGAATATTTAAATGTCCTGTCTCTACTCTTTAAAGTCCCATTCTGCAAAGGCTGCTTGAGGCTTTAGATGAATTAGAGGTGACTGTTTTGGTTATGAGGCCAGTGTGGCAGGCCCTCCCCCATGTGATAAGGACCAAGGTGCTGCTAAGGCCACTCCACCACCCATACACTCCAGGAGCTGGGCCCGGCTCATGAGGCCAAAGCGCTGGGACAGGAGCTGACCCCTTTTCCGGGGGCTGATCTGAGTGTGTGACCACCCTTTACTCCCCTGACCCTGGCCCCATCCCCCAGATTCCAGCCCCACTCGGGCCTATAGCTTGTGGCCTGGGGGCTCAGCCTGAAAGCCTGAGTGAGGCAGAAATGGCTCCAGGCCATTTCTCAGCCTTGGGGTAAGGAACTCAGGGCAGCTTTCTGAAGGGCTGAGCCCACACCCCCCACCTACACGGAGGCCCACTGAACCTCTCGGCCCAAAACCAGTGTTCACATCACGAGCTTGGCCCTTGCTAGTCCAGCACACTAGGCCCACCTTCCTGCATTGCTCTTTAGAAAAGGGCACCCCCAATGGGTCATGGCCCCAATCCTAGGGGCCCACCCTACACTGTCTGGCAGGAATTCCTAGGGCTTGGCTTGCCTTACTCCAACCCAGTGGAGGCAGCCCTGAGAAGCCCTAGGCAAGACCAATGGGTTCAGTGATGCCCGCTGGCTCTCTGCCAAATCCAAGAGGCATTGTCAGTCTTTAGGGTGCTGGCGGGGCCTCAGATGCCACCCTGGCCCTCTAACCCTGCATGGGCCTTGCTGCCACCTGTGGCTTCTGGTCTGCGGGTTGGCTTAACCTGTAGGAGACAGGGACTTCTGCTGCCTGGGAACTGTCCCAAGCGAAATGTCTTGTCCCAGAGGCACCTATTTGGGTCCACTGTGTTCCCTGTCATTATCCTTCTTTTTCTCATTTTGGTCAAGGGCGGGCTCCCTGGGGCGGGTGGGGAACAACAGCAGAGATATTAGTGATTCATAGGTTTGTACAGTGTTTTATACTTTGCGAAGCACTTTATTAGCTCACACCTGTCCACACACATGAAACTAGTGTAGGCCCTGGGAAGCCGAGGGCAATTCTCACCCTGCCCTCAAATGAAGCACAGAGAGGTTGTTACATGCCCAGGCTACCCAGTGGGCTGGCTGGGTCTCGGGTCCAAGATGAGATCAGAAGTGTCTCTTTTATCCATCTCTTCCTGGCCTCCCTTTCCCCCTTCCCGGTCCCTTTCCATTCCTCAGGTTGGTGCTCTCACTTCTTGAACGCTCTAGGCCCCCCAGGTTCCCCGTTGGCTCCTGAAACTACCAAGGTCAGGTGAGGAAGAGCAGGAGATGGAGGCAGGCAGCCCAGGCTGCAGATGTGAGGGATGTAGGGCTGGGCCCAGACAGGGCTCAGCCTGGAGGCTTCCAGTCTCCGATTCTCCTGCATTGTCTCACGGTCACCTGTTTGTCCATCGTCCCAGGGCAGAGCAGACAGAGGGGGAAGTACTGGGGCCCAGAGCCCAGCTTCCCCTCAGCCTGGGGAATGTCACAGCATTTCAATGTCAGTCACATTTTAAACTGATCAGCCTTTGTATAATGTTTTTTAAATCATTTCTAAATAAAACAAAAATACAAAGTGCGTCATTTCCCTTGGATGTGGGACAGAGGATCAGGTTCTGACAACGGCCTGAGAAACTTCTGGGAGGAGAGAAGCAGGGTATTTCAAGGTGTCCAGGAAACGGTCCCATTCGTCTCATTGCCAGCCCAGCAATCAGACGCCCCCTCCCTCCAAAAGGCTAACTGGGGAGGCCCAGAGTTACCGGGGTCGCAGCAATACCACTTGATAATGCCTCCCTGGGGTCCGGGCTGGAGGAGCAACCTCCCCTGGGAGGGGTCCGGGAAGGGTCACCGCGGCAAGGTCTTCTCTCAAGTCAAGGCACGTGGTGCAATGACCAGAAACAAAAGCAAGAGCCCAGCTCTCAGCAATAAGGGACAGAAGAGGTGAGGTGAGGTGAGGTGAGTAGCCCTAGGGTCTTACCAAGAGCCCTGGCCGGGTTCTGAAGTCAGTGACAGGAAGACTGACCCAAGACCCAGAGCTGTGGGGTGGGGCCGAGCCCGCAGGTCTGAGGTGGCTTGGGTACCGGGTGGGAAACGAAGAAATTCAGGGTGGCAGGAGGGGCCAGAGAGCAGGCGGTGCGCCATGGGCCCCACCCCTGCACCTCCTCGACTCGCTGTCGTGTCCCGGGCGCCAGCTGGGGTGGGGCGCGAGAATGGGGGAACAGGTTAGGAGAGACACCGGGCCATGGGGTCGGACGACAGTGGCCGGACAAGGTGAAGCGAACAGAATGACAGACGGTGAGAGGCGAATCGGAGGGCGGAGAGTCAGTACCAAGAGGTGCAGGCGATGAGGAAGCGCACGTCGTCCAGCGGCCCCCAGGGGCCGGGCTCGGGCCGCGGTCGCTCAGGGCCCGCGGGTGCCGCGGGCTGGGGCTGCGGCTGCGCGGGCTCCGCGGCGCCCTCGCCGCCGCTCAGCTGAGCGCCCATGGTCTGCAGGAGCAGAAGCTCGTCAGGTGCTGGGCCAGCCCCACGCGCCCCCTCCAGCCCCAGCCCCACTCCGGCGCTCACCTCGCGCTGCGGGAGCAGCAAGTTCTATTCCTCAGAATCGCAGGGCCGACCTCCAGGTTTCAAGGGCCTGCGCCGCTGGGAAAGGCGTGACCGGCGTCGTGACGTCACAGACAGGCCGCCTGCGGGAAATTTCCGGGTCCCGGGGGCAGGGCCCAGAAAACGACTCCACCCACCAGTAGCCGGCCAATCCCGCCCCAACCTCCCAGGGCCCCGCCCCGCGAGCTGCCACACCAACAGAACGCCGACCCAAGCACCTTAAGGTAGGGTCCTGCTGGGGTTGATGAGGCTGTCCATGGCATCCATGGCATCAGGCAGCCAGGCCACCCATCCACGTTGGGTCAAGGACAAGACTGCCCTATGGCCAGGTGCCCCAGGGCCCTACACAGGGCTCTGCCCAAGGGTTCTCACAACAGCCCAGGAGAGAATTAAAACAGAATCTCATCCAGAGCCCTGGCTGGTGTAGCTCAGTGGATTGAGCACGGGCCAGCGAACCAGACAATGGCGGTTCGAGTCCCAGTCAGGGCACATGCCTGGGTTGCAGACCAGTTCCTTGCAGACCAATTCCCAGCAGGGGACACATGAAAGGCAACCATACATTGATGTTTCTCTCCCTCTCTCCTTCCCTTCCCCTCTAAAGATAAATAAATAAAATCTTAAAAAAAAAACAAACCAGAATCTCATCCTTTGAAGGCTGAGTGGAAAACGGGAGAAGCACGCAGTGGATTGCAAGACTGTGGAGTGAGTGAGTGAGTATGTGTGTGTGTGTCCTACCCCAGTTCCTACCCCTGGAACAATGGTGAGGGCTGGGTGCAGGCTGAAGCTGCCAAACAAACAACACATTCATAATGCACAGAAGCTGCCTTTAATTGGGTGGCACAGGACAGCACAGCTCTCAGCCAGGAATCATAACGACTGACAGCCAGCTCATGGCAGATTTTTGCAGTAACTATAGATCCAGGAGATGGGCACAGGTGAAGAAGGGCCGGGCATCCTGCCACTCGATACCCACAAGCTCTCTGCCACCCTTCTGCCAGCATCCAGGGCAGACTGGGTAGGACGCTGACAGGGAGCCAAAGCTCAGAGCCAGGAGCCCGCAAAACGGCATGGAAGGTGATTCAGGTTAGGCTAGAAAGAGAGGAAGGAATATTTGTCAGTAAGTGCCTCACAGAGAACGCCTCACCCTCCACTCTCAAGGTGCTTGCCTCCACCCCTACCTGAGGCCCTTTGTTCCAGCTCAGCCCTGAAAAGCCACACTCAAAGCCCCTTCCAGGTTCCACCGATGCCATGAGTTACAATCCAATCTAGAACTCTCAATGCTTAAAAGCTAAAAGTAACTCCTTTCCTTTCCTATTCAGGTGGGTCAACTTATTATTTATGCAAACTGTTATTGGTCTTAAATTGGATCCTCAGAGGTCAAGTCCAACAGACAGGAGAGATGGGAACAAAAGGGTTCAGACAGGCAAAGGGACGTGCCTAGACCACAAATCCCCCAGTGGCAGGGCTCAGCCAGGACTTTCTTCCTGCAAGTGATAGTCATGCGCGTGATCGTAAAAATGAAGCACGTATATCCAAGGGCTGACCTGACACGTTCATCGTGAGGTCTCACAGGCACCTCAAACTCAATGGGTTCAAAACCAAACGAGGCGAATGAGTTTTGTCTCTTCTTTCCAATACCCACTTCTTAATTTTCTGAAACTGCAGTGTTGACTAGTGCTGCTAACTATGTGACTTTAACGAGAATTTCTAAAATTTCACCATCAAATGAAACATTTGCTCTAGTTTTTTAGTAGGTACCAATGATCAGATTACAGAAATCTCTGTTCTTGGGTTGCTAAGGGGTATTTTTTCCTTTAAATGGTTAATGGTGTAAGTACTTTCTTTTTGTTATGAGAGCTTATGTTCCAAAAGAGCGGGGGGGGGGTACATTTTATTCATCAGCCCACCACTACTGTACGGCACGTAATAGGTACTCAAACAAAAGTGGCTGAACAATGACAAACCACTGGTCCCACTTTCCTGTGCATACCCCTTCCACCGCTCGCTCTCCCGAGCTGACACGGCTTTGTCAGTGTGGTCTCTGAACTGCCCCTTCAGAATCACACAGGGAAGCTTATTAAAATGACCACACACGGCTGGACCCCACTCCAAACTGAGGGCATCAGTAGCTGAGGAATCTTTATCACAAGCATCCAACATAGACAAAAGACCCAAAACACAGGTCTGCGGTCAAAACTCCTTGACGTGGGGGTGGGGGTTGGGGAACTGGATGAAAAAGGCGAAGGGATTAAAAGGTACAGACTGGCAGTTACAAAATAGCACGGCACAGGGAAAACAGTTAATAACATTGTAATAACTCTGTATGGTGTCAGGTGGGCACTAGACTTAGGGGGGATCACTTTGTAATTACATACATGTCTAACCACTACGCGGTACATCTGAAACTAATATAATATTGAATGTCAACTGTAGCTGAAAATAAAAAAAACAATTCTTGACTTGGTCACTCAGAGTCCTTGACAGTCTGGGAATACCACTCTTCCCCTCCGCACACTCCACTCCTTCATCTGTCTGTCCGCAGTGCTTCCACTCTAATCCACGCACTTGATTACCTACTCATTCTTTGAAGCCCAGACTAAATGAACTGGGCTCCACCAAGTCTTCCTGGATCCCAGAAAGTGTCTCACCAGAGCTTCCTAAGCCAACTTAAGGCACCTTTTATTTCTCCTTTGAAGGCAGCTAAGAATTATGTGTAGCCACAGCTTTTCTCAGAGGCAGAAGTAGCAGTAAGTTGCCTGAATACCCCACATGGAGCTCATGGAACATCAGGCAAATGAGTGGATAAATGAAGGGAAATACTTCCCACTGTCAGTAGGAAGTCCGTTACTGGGCATTTGATCTGCTTTGCAGTTTCTAGCCTCACGAAGATGCCTGTGCTAGTTGGCTGTGGCATGCCTTGGGAAGGATCCTCAATGGGGAATGACAGAGAAGGCCAAATATCCAGCATCGCTGCTCTGCCAAAGGAAGAAGATTCTAGAACACAGGTGGCAAACACAAGGTTCGTGGGCCGCATCTGGCCCTCCACCTTGTTTTATCCGGCCTAGCAATTTGTTTCTTACTGGCAGCAGCACTGAGCTCCTTGCCCCTAGTTAAGAAGTAGTTATATTTATACAGTCCTAAAGTTAGATTCGGCCCTTTGAAGGCAACCACGAGCCTGATGTGGCCCCTGGTGAAAATGAGTTTGACACCTCTGTTCTAGAGCCTGACACACCCGAATCTCCAGGGTTAAGGCCCAAGAACACACTTTAAAAAAACCCCACAAGCCCTGGCCAATGTGGCTCAGTTGGTTGGAGTGCTGATCCCTTCACCAAAAGGCTGGGGGTTCAATTCCCAGTAAGGGCACATGCCTGGGTTGAGGGTTTAATCCCTGGTTGGGGCACAAGGGGAGGCAGTCAATGTTTCTCTCCCTCTCCCTCCTCTCTCTCCCACTTGCTTTCTTTCTAAACAGATCAATAAACATATTTTAACCCCCACCCCAAACCCAGATGATTGTGATTCTGATGCAACCCACACCCCCCAAGTCTGCGAGGCACCCAAAGTCTCCGAAGTCTCCTCAGTCCCTCAGAGCAGCCTCCCTTCCTTCCCTCAGTACACAGCTCTTTCTGTCTCAGTCTGCTGGCTGGGGACACCGACACACAGGCAGACACAAACTACAAAACCACGTGGTAAGTGACGAATGAAGACAGACCCAGAGGGAAGCGCTGCCCGAAGTGGCAGTACACTACACTAAACCAAGTCTTCGAACCTGGGGTGAGCAGATGCTCAGATGATGCTTGCGAGCTGTACCCACTGATACCAGTGCCCTTGCCCGCAAGGAGAACCTACGGGTATGAATGCACTGTGGTTCCCATTATAGGTGGCACCTCCTTCCCCTACTCTCCAAAGGCAGAAGAGAGGCCCAGATACCTGTCAATGAGGGAATCCCGCATGCTGGTAGCAATGGTGCTAGGCTGGGATTCATTCAGCTTGAAGACACTCTCCACCACCGAAAGCTCTGTGCTGGTTGTGTCCTGGCCACAGAAGGCACACCAGTCGTTCACCACCATCCCAGCAGCAATCACCTCGCTGCCTCGGTTCACAGTGCCTGCCTGCCAAGTGATAGGTCCATATGGATCATGGCATCAACAACCCAAGTCTCTCCCATCCCTGGTGAGGACTCACCCCAAACCCCACTGCCTGACCTGCTGCCCCAATCCCAAACTGAGACAGGTAATAACTGTAAGAACCCATGACAAAGGATCTGCTTCAGCAAGAGACAGAGGTCAGAGAACAACAACGCTTACCACAAGGGGGACCTGAAGGAGAGAGGACAGCTCGTCCTGGTCTTCAATCGAAGTCTTGGGATGTACCAGCCCTCCCTGATTGCTGAAGACACAGTAGCTTCCTACTAACACCTGCTCAGCCACCGTCTGTCTGAAGACTTCCACCTTGAGCACATCGGCCAGGATTTCTTCTGTTTCCTGTCAGTCCAAGGTACTGTACTCAGGGGCCAGGACTTGCGGATCAAAGAACCCAGGGTCCTTCATGCCCAGAACCACCTAGGGCTTGATACCCTAAGCCCCTCACCTAGAAAAAGGAGGCACTGGTCTCCCCATACCACCCTCTAAACCACACTCAAGAGTTCAACTGTCAATCATCTCTCCTGGCCCTGTTGGTAGGACCTGATGGGTCAATCGACCTGATTCTGAAGGATTAATACCCTCCCCAGCTGCTCTCTGACACTGACCCCACCATGAAAGGCCTCTATTATTGCTAGTTCAGTGAGGGCCTGAAATGCGAGACCCCAGACATAAAGAGAAACCATAAGGGATACCCCTAATTCCCACCTGATAGGCAAGAACAGTGGCTAACCATTTACTAGACCAGTCTTATGACTCTTGGGCCAAGCCAGGCTGCCTTACCCTGTCCAGGTCTGGGTGGACCAAGGCCACGTAGTCATTGCAGGTGGTAACATTGCCCAGGGCTGAGAGCCTCTCATCTACCCGCCGGATCTGCACTGAGTCTGGGAGGGAGTTTCGAATATGCTGCAGTTCCTGGTCGGTGGTGTTGCTGGGTACAAGCAGACCATGTCTGTTTCCTGGAGAGACCCATTTAGAGGGTGGAGCAAGGAAAGACGGTGAATATACAAGATACCTGCTGAGCCTTGAAGGCTGAACATCCCAGTTAGCTTTCCCAGAAAAGCTTCAGGCCCAGACTCCAGCCCTATAACCCAGTGATCCACATGACACCAAGGGGGAACCGGGAGTCCCACTGGGCAGGCCAGAGGCGGCCCAGGAGTCTGTCCCAACCCACCCTACCCACTTCGCCACCACCAACCAGGGGATCGGGACTAGCAGGAAGGGCCCTTGGCATCAGTTGTATATTTTGCCACTTAAAAAAACAATAGTGCACACCTACCAGAATGGTTATAAATGTTTAAAAGACCATCAATACCAAGTGTTGGCAAAAATATGGAGCAGCCAATAGGATGTAAATTGATTAACTACTTCAGATAATTACCTGGCATCATTTACTACACTGAATATTCAAATACCCTGTGACCCACCCACTTTCTCTTAGGTGTTGTATATCCAACAGATATATACATATGTATTTACTAAAAAATATAGCAGCACTATTTAGAAGAAACCAAACTGAAAATTACCCAAATGCCCACAGTCAACAGAAGGGCAAATATATCATGGCACACTTACATAAGATGCACTGTACATACAGAAAGGTCAGTGGGCAAGCAAGTGTCGCTGTGACAACAATGACTAAACCTCTGCCTCCCTCTACATGGGCACAGTCCTGTGGACTTTTGAACTCTCAGTTACTCCTAACATAAAAAAGAAATCTCCCCTGTTATATCAGAACTTGCTTCAGGTCCTAAGATCATGGTTAGGAATAAGAGTGTTCTGCCTTAATAAGAAAATCCTCAGAGGCCAGCACCATCAGATTTATGGTAAAAATAAATAAATAAATAAATAAATAAATAAATAAATAAAGGAAAACACCTCTACGTGAACCCAGTGAGCAGAACCAGAAATGAGGGGTGGAAGGAAAGGGAGACAGATCCAGCTCAGAAAAGGACCAATGGCCTCAACAGTGCTGAGGGGTAGGAATTGAAGATTTAAATGAATAGAACGGGTTGATCCAGAATCTAAGCCTGTCATTTTTTTTAAGGCAGAAATGAATGCTCAGAAATCAAAAGCAACCTACCCAGTGTTAGTTACAGGGGACAGGCATGCCAGTCTTGCCTCACACTAGGTGTGGCACCTGGTGAGTCACTTCAGCTTTCTCATCAGTCAAATTTGGCCAATAATTCCTAACTACCTGGGTCTTCGTGAAGAAGGGGTGGAAACAAGAGTGAAAGCACTTAATGTTATTTTTTGTTACTACGACCCAGCAGCCTTCCCCAGAGATGGTCTCTAACCTGCTGACACAGACTGAGTTAGGCCCAGGCCTCAGAGATTCTATAATAATGGACGATGCCTGAAAAACCCCGGGTGGTGACCCAGGTCCCCTCGAGGGGTGTGACAGAAGGTGCCGGGAGGCTCGACCCCCCTCCCTCGGAGTCCTCCCCCTGGCTTACCCACACACATACGCCCGATGATGCGGCAGCCGGCGATGGACGCGTGCACCACGGGGATGGTCTCGGCGAGCTCGCCCTCGAACACACTGTAGGAAAATGCTCTCGGTGGGAAGGGGCCTGAGCCCTCACTCTGCCTGTGTCCCCGACCCCCAGCACCCCTTCCCGCCACCCATCCACACACGGCCATCGCGGTCCGGCGCTCCCGCCGCACCTGTAGAAGTTCTCTGACCCTCCGACGGCCACCAGGCAGTAGGTGTTGGTAAGTTTGGCAAAGCAGCCGACCTCACAGTTGTTCTCGAACGACGCTCGGACCGCCATGAGACCTGGGGGCGGTGGGGCCGGGAGTTCAAGGCCAGCGGATCCTCTCCCCACTGAGGTCCTGGTCCCCACGGCGTGCCGCGACCCCACCCCTCTCGGGCCCTCAGACCTCCGGTCCCGCCCACTGGGCCCCTTCAAACTCTCCCGCCGCGAATCCTCCGGCCGCCACCCCTCGTGACCCCGGGCGCCCGCGCTGACCCTCGCGATCGCTCTCCAGACGGACTGACCAGGTAACACCAAGCTCGGCACGATACCACAAACTCTTCTCTGTTTCAAGTAGGTTTTCGTTTCCGTTTCCGCCTCCGCCGTGGAGACTTCCGGTAGAGCCCGGCGCCCCCAGCCGCGCACGCGTCCACTCTAGCCCCACCCTCTCGGAGGACTTTGAGGTCGCGATCGGTTGGGTGGTATTGCCGCCTGGCCCCGCCCCCAGCAGGCTCACATTCATTCGTTCGTCATTCATTCATTTATTCATTCAGGGACTTTTTATGAGGTACAATCGACCGACACATGTGGCAGGCTGGATATGAGGGACACGAGAGGAGGAACCAGAACGTCTCACAGATGAGTTGATGATGGAGGAGTTTACTGAAGTAAAGCCTGCAGAGGAAAAGCAGGTGTGGGGAAGGTGACAGATCGAGTGCGAGGTGTGAAACAGACGTCCGGGCCAGATCTGGAGCCCAGGGAGGAGTGAAGCGCCGAGATTTGGGGCTGAAGCCTGGGGTGGATGAGGTCACCCATGGAGGTAAGACCAGGTGAGAAGTGAGACCAAGACAGGGGCCCGAGAAGGAGAGAAAGCCAGGCAGAAGAAGTATTGGAGGCCGGAGGATGGAGGAAGCAAGGTCTTAGGGAAGGTCCAGAGTGGGCAAGGGTGTAGGGGCTGATCGTCTTCCACTATGTGCCCCTTGCATGTGCTCCATCACACTCAGCAGCCACTTTCTGACCCAGGATAGATGGTGCTGGTCAAGGGACAAGCAGTCCTGGATGGGATGTACTTGACCCGCATTTTGGAGGATCTACAAAAGCCACAAGAGCTCTCAGGATGTCTCAGTGAAGACAGAGGATGCTTGGAGCCCCTTCCCTCCCCCCTCCATCCTCCTGTAGCCATCCACAGTCCTCCAGGGAGTCCCCTGTAACCGCCCTAAATGGTGCACTTCCCCAGCCCCCAAGGCGCAGTTCCACACCTCCACCTTCCTCGGGATACACGAGGCTGCTGCCGGGTCATAACATGTCTGCTTTTATTGATTTGTATCATGTTTAACTCTGTCTCAGGCAAGTGGTGAGCTCAGGAAAAGGGCCCGCTTGTCAGAGTCAGTGCTTCTAGGAACATTCAGCAAAATGCGTGTGTGCATGTGTGTGGGTGCACCGCACATCCTCCCCCACTCATCTCAGGCCCACTCCCTCAGCCCTCCCCCCCCCCGCAGTATCCCTTCACCAGGGATGCCTCTAACCTCTCCTCCATCTGTCCAACACCTCCCCATCCTTCAAAGCCTATCTCAAAGGTTGCCTCCTCTAAAATATTTTCCTCACCACTCCACCATCACCGGGACTGTCTGTCCTTCATTCTCTACCATCCTTTGTCATCAGTTTGCTTTTAATTAGATATTAGCCTTGTCTTGCTAGCCAGTGGTTTAGGCACTTAATCTGGGGACTGTGTCTGATTCATTTGCCAGCCCTACAGCATACCCAGCAGTCTGGGTACACGAATTAGGTACAAGAAAATACTGGTTAGTCCATGCTCTGCGTATGTGTGTTTATGTGCATATTCATGGTCTGTGGGTCCTGAGGGGTCTACAGTGTGAATGAATGCATATTTTTGTGTAGCCATTCATTTAGCCAAACAACATGATGGTGTTTATAGGTGTGCAGCTTGTGGACATGAACCCTGTTAGTGTGCTACATATATTGTGCAGGCATTTGAGGCATCTGTGTGATGCGTGTATTTCGTGTGCATGGAGACATATGAATTGTTGATATTGTGTGTTGTGTCTGTGCTAAAACCAGCCATAAGAGTCAGAGACACAGGTGTGGGTGCCTACTCTGACACTTAGACCTGATTCCAAGCAAGTCATCAACTCTCTGGGCCTCAGCGTCCACGTTTATTTTATTTACTTTATTTTTATTTTTCCATATCAGACAGGTAATGTGCCAATGTCATAACAAGGTTTGTGGGAGGCACATGTCACACAAAAGCATGAACACCCAATCCTCACCCTTATGAACTACAAAAAGATCAGCTTCCACGTTTATAAAACAGGGAAGATTACACCTATGATCCTAGGGTGTTTTACCTACTGGAGGTTTATCTTGTAGGATGTGAAGATGAAGGATGAGAAGTAGCCAGTGTGAAGTGCCCAGCACAGTGACAAATGACATTAACTGTGGGTTCCGTTTCCCGTGTGTGCGTCTGTGTATATGTGTGTGTACAATAAGCAAGAATCCTGAGCTTATTCTAACCTGGGCTTCTAGCCACCCTCTCCTCCCAGTGCAGCCTCTGCCTGAGCTTCCGCCCCCAAGTCTAGGATCTGAGTAAACCTAGACTCTCAGCAGATGGAGGAGGGACAAATCCCTGCTGGGAGCAAGACTAGGACTCAAAGCGGCTTCGGAGCACCTTGAACTTGGACTTATTGTACTTGGTGATGAGGTCCAGTTTGCTATGGCCCAGGGTCATTCGTTTCTCATCCTCAAATGGGCCATTGCTACTGCCACTGTGATGGTCACCTCTGAGGGCCCCGGGGAGGTCATGCTCGGGTCCCTGCCTGGTACCCTGCAATTGATGATATTTGGTGATGAGGTCCAGCTTGCTGTGGCCCAGAGTTAGCCGCTTCTCATCCCCAGAGCCCACTCCAGGCTTGCGAGCATGGCTTGGTCCTGGGACACTATTGGGTCCAGGCCCCTCGCCCCGGAATGGGCCAAACTTTGTAATGAGGTCCAGCTGGCTGTGGCCCAAGGTCTGTCGTCGCTCATCTGGACCCTGCTTGCCAGCCCTGGCTGAGGAGTTGGCTTCAGGCAGCACTCTGGAGCCCCTAGCCTTGGGGTACTGTACCAGGAGGTCCAATTGGCCATGGCTGTGGTTTGGAGGCAGCCTCTTATCCTCAGGGGTCCCATTGCTAGGTCTGGGGGGACCTGACTCAGGGACACAGCCAGCGCCTTGAGCCCGGGGCAGGAGATCCAGCTGGTTGTGTTTCTGGGTTGGGGATAACCTCCTGTCCTCTCGGGCATGCTCCCTAGGCCAAACGGGGTCTGAGTTGGAGGTAACACCGGGATCAGGGCCTCCTGCTTCTCGGGCTCGGGGGAAGGGGGTGAGGAGATCCAGCTGCCCATGGCTCTGCCTCAGAGACACCTTCTTCTCCTCCACTGTCTCCAGGCCTGTGCCAGGTACCCAGCGACCTCGTGGGGGGCTAGGCTCCTGACTTCCTGGGAGCCCATTCTCTGGGAGCCGGGACAGGGTGAGGACACCCCGGGACAAGGGGAGGAAGGAGCGCTGGCGAGTAGGCAGAGGTGACCCCCCTGCTGGAGTCAAGTGGCTGCTGCTATTGTGGTTGAGGGCAGGGGAGGACTGGGACCAGGGGGAAGCCCCCAGCTTGCCCAGGTTGGCCCTGGAGGGCCCTGGAGGGGAGCCACAGTTAGGATCTGACAGCTGGCGCTGTAGGGAGGGCTGGCCACTGGCCTTGCGACAAGCAGAGCCTGGGGATGTGGACCCCATGCCCGTGTCACTGCAGCCACCACCTCCTGGTAGAGCGAGGTAGGAGGAGCGGCCCATGAGAGGGGAGCGCTTGATGCTGCTGAGGCTGGTGCTAGAGGGAGGCGAGGACATGGGGCTTGGGATGCTGGGCACGAAGGCCAAGGCCACCGGAGGAGGGCACGGCACCCCGGGGTCCTCACTGCCGCAGAAGCCCTCCACAGGCCGTGACTCAGCATACAGACAGCGGAACTCCCGGTCAAAGTCTTCCACAATGCGGCCCCTCAGCTGAAGCGCCATGCTGGTGTGGGCCTGGCTGCAGAGCCAGGTGAAGCTGGGGGCAGAGCGTCAGGGTCAGGAGGCAAAGTGCATGGCCCCGGGCCAGGGCAGGAGTCACAGCCAGCAGAGCATACCAAGACAACTCCATCACCACGAGGGCCCAAGTGAGGGGGCAGATCCTAGCTAGTGGGCCTGGGCACATGGTTGCCCATCTCAGGGCCTCACCTTCCCCATCTGTAAAATGGACCAGAGGCAAGGTTCCCTGAAGTCCCTTCAGTTCCAAGATAAAATAGTTCTTTTCTGTGCCAATGCCATTACAGTAATCCTTCCACAGAGCAGGAGCCTCCAGGACCCCACCGGGGGCCGTCTCGCTCCCCACACTAACCCCTGCACCCTGCATAGTGCCTGGCGTGGGCGGCTGCTCAGCCCATGTTGGCAGAGGTAGGTGATGAAGGAAGTCCAAAGCTGCCATACCCCAGGTGTGCTCGCCAGCCAGTGAGTGGCCCAGCCCCAGGCCCCTTGCCCTCTGTCCCACTTGCTCACCTGTAGCTGCCTGCCACCACCTGCTCACAGTCCACGATGACAAACTTCTCCAGAGCCTGCCCCGTGAAGCGGCGGCCTGCCTTGCTGCAGTACGTGTCCCCACATGTGCTCCGTACACGCATGTTCTGAGCCAAGGAGGGACAAAAGTTAGGGGGGGGGTGACCTTAAGAGAAAGGGACTCGAGCCATGTCTAAATCCCACAGGGTCTCTGACCTCAATCAGCTAAGGAAAGCCGTTCCCCTACTCCTGTTGACTCCCACTGCTCACTGACTACCCAGCGGCCTCTCCTGCCCTCCCGTTTGGGTGGGTACCCCCACCCACCCCCCGGTAACTGCCCTGGTCGCTCACTGACCGGCAGGTGCCCCCCATTGAGGTCCATCTTGTAGCACATCTCCAGAAAGTGCCTCAGGTGCTCCTGCGCCAGGAGCAGGTAGACGGGGACGCCACGGCGGCTCGAGGCCTCCATGAGGTCGCACAGGAGTTCCATGTCGGTGAACACGTCCATCACCACGGCCACCACCTGGGGGAGGGAGAGGAGGCTCAGCTTTGTCAGGAGCAATGCCCGGGATCCCAGGACAAGAGCTCTGGAGTGAAAAGCGGGAAGCCAGACCCTGTGAGAAAACCTGAACCAGAAGTGCTTTTAGCCATGACCTAGCCCAGCGGCTTGTACCTTAGAGACAGGGAGGTGTCGCTGTCTTAAACCCCCAGAAGTTGTACGAAAGGGTCTGTGTGTGTTTTTTTCTGAGGACAAAACATGTATCTGTCAACAGAGCCTCAAAGACGTCTGTGGGTCAGCCACACCAATCTAGTGCTTCACTCTCCATGTGGAGGAACCATGGCCCAGAGTGGGGAAGGCGTCAGAGGCAGAATCCTGACCCCAACTGCCAATCTGGTCCTCACAACCTCCTCACTAGCTCCAGCCTGAGCTCTGGCCCCGGGACTGTCTGTCTGAGGTTCCCTTCTCAAGGGTCGGAGCTGCATGCCAGGCACTAGGGTCTTCAATGTCCTTTGCTAGACCTGCCTCAGTTTCTTTCCCTGCGAAGCTACAGAGGTCTGCCTGACCCCTTACCTATGGACTCCCCTACTTCCGCCCATGCCAGGTGGGACTGGGTATTCTCCTCCGGGGCTTGTGGCCTCCCTCATATAATGGGCTGCCTCAGAGAAGCCCTGAAAAACCTGTGGCAACACCAAGCCCCCAACTGTCCTTTCCTACCCTTCCCATTTCACATATCTGCTGTGAGAACCTCTTCTCCCAATCCCGGCCTCATTCTCCAGGAGGCTGAGGGGCAGATCAAAGCCTTCCGACTCTAGCCACACAGAACTGGGTTCAAACCTGCACTCTGCTACTCCCTGGGGATATGGCCTTGGGCGAGTTGCTTGACCTCTGGAAGCCCCTACTTCATCTACTGAACAGAGGTAATGATAGCTATTGTGCATCTCAGCGTAGCTCAATAAATGTTCGTTTCCTGCTGCCTCCTTAACAAATGAGGACAGTGGGCATTGGGCAGCAAGAAAAGGAAGCCTTCCCTAAGTCAGTCGAAGTCAATGGCAGCCCAGAGCAGAAGCCTGGCTTCTGGCCCAGAGGTGGAGGGTCTAGGTGGGGGAGGGGCGGGGTGAGGAGGCAAAATGCTGGGGGAAGCCCTGGTCCGTGGCACAGGACTAACCAGGGGTGGGGGGAACAAGGACGAGCTGGAAAGATCAAAGGTGCAGGGGTGACCACAGCAGCCACTTCACTAATTACCCTACTCCCAGTGCCAATTAGGCCTGCCCACCCCCCCATGCCCAGGGCAAAGGCTGGCCTGCCAGGGAGACTGAAGGTACCAACGCGATCCCAGCATCCTGGCTCCTGCTCTATGCGACAGACAAGCGCACTGAAGCCAACCTATTTCAAATCCTGCCTGGGGACGTCTGCCTTAGCCCCAGCTGGAGAAACAGGGCAGGGGCAAGGGTGGATGGGGACATTCTCCGGGAGGCAGGGCTGTGCCTGAGTCAGGACCCCTCCTCCAGCCCCAGGCCCTGGGCTCTGTTCCACCAACTGTCTGGACCTTCCCGAGCACATCCCAGCCCCTCTCCGGCCTCAGTTCCCTCTTCTGTAAGGCAGAGGGTGGCTCAGATGTTCAGCCAGGTTGGTATTTAGTTTGGGGATCAGAAACCTTTCTGAGAATCTGATGAAGGCCATACATCCTCTCCCAGGAGATGCAAGGAGGATCCCTCTCTGCAATAGGCACTGCTTTGCATGCATTTTTAGGGTGTCTGTGGAGTCCCTGAGGGCCACCCCCTGGCCTGTGCTTATCCAGAATGTCCGAGTGCCAAAGGATTAGTTACCAAGATAAATGCAACACGGCTCACCCTCTAAGAAGAGCCTGTGGTCTGACGGAAGGCAGAAGGTCTAGTCCCGATGCTGCAGCTAAGCCATGGTGTGTTTATCCTTGGACTCGTCCCTTCCCTCCCAGGACCTCAGTTTTCATACCTGTGAAATGAATGTCTGAAGAGATGATGTTCTTACCTTGCGGGCCTGGCTGAAAAGGAACCTCAGGAGGTCTTTGATGTTCTTGGTCTTGTCCCGCTGAAAGTGGACCACAGCCTGGGTGGGGCTGAAGCCCGTGGCCTGTGGGATCTCGGGCCACCCCAAGTCCAGGTCCGGGGGGTCTATGTCAGAGGCCATGGGAAAGTAAGTGCCTGAGGTGACTTCAGAGAGCAGGCTGAGGTGGTCAGGCCCTGCGGCCTCCAGTCCCTGGGCCTCACCAAGTTCAGGGCCCCCACGCACATGGCTGGTTATGTAGTCCACATCCAGGGCGCTCAGGAAGGGCAGTTCCCGCTCCTCTGAGATCACCCGCAGGTAGGCAGCCTCGCCCCGCTCCAGGAGGGCGTCGGCCGCCAGCCGGGCTGCCTCACTGTGCTGCAGCACCAGCGGCGAGCTCTCCCGCCACCAGGGCTGCTTCAGCTCCTCCACCCTGCCCCGCAGAGGTCCTGCCATGCCCTGGGCTCCCTGGCCCCCAAACATGCTTGCCCACTGGGCTGCTGTCACCCTCCAGCAGGCTCCATGGCCTGCACCCCAGGCTGGCTGCACTGGGAAAAAGAGACCAGCAAACCCGGCTCCTGCCTGCCTGCCTGCCCTGTGTGTGTGGCAGGCCCCCGATCCGTTGCCGCTCTATGTCGGAGAGTTATGCTCCGCCCCATTGCCCCTGGCTTCTGGAACCTGTTGGGTCAGCCTCACCTGTCTGCCAGCTGTTGGGACTTGCCCTCCCAGGAAAACGTCAGTGGTAGGCCCTCAGCGCACTCCTGCCCGCACCCCCCACCCTGCCCCAGCGTTGCCCGCCCCGTCCCCACCGGGCTCCCAGCAAGTTTCCTTCCAACCCTGACCTTTCAGAGGCCCCCGGGAGGTTGTATTATGACCCAGCTCAGGGACACACACATGTGTACACACAAACAGCAGGGTAGATGAATGACTCAGGACACCGAGATAGACAAACACACAAGCATGCAGGCTGACCAACACACTGAGAGTTGACAAGACACACGCAGACTACAGACTAATATGTGCAGACCGCACACTTGGTCACACGGAAACAGCCCACACACTGGCTCGGAGACTGGCCGTAGCCCCAGACACCCCGTGATGGGTGTATGGTAAGCCTCAGCGTACCTGCACACCTGCACAGGCCCTAAGAGCTGAAGGGAATGTCACACAGAAATGGGAAGAACACGGCCTGTCTGTCCCCACCTGGGCCCTCCTCTGTTCCCATATGGAGGTTCTCAGTCACCTGGCCCACCCCCACCACAGCGCTCAGCCCATCCTCCAAGGGTCTAGAGCAGTGGCTGTCACCCTATAGTCCCCAAGGATAGCCAGGATGTGTTAAATGCAGGTCCCTAGGCCCCAGCCAGCTGAGATTCTGTCCCAGAAGGTCTGGGTAGGCTCTGGAGCCTGCCTTTGTAACAAACGACATGGTGCACCCAGGGCCAGGGTGCTGAGGCCCACCCCTGACAAATGCCCTTCCAGAGCATGGCTGCATTTCAAACACCCTCAACTCCAGGGAAGCTCTTGGCCTGCTGGGGACCAGACCACAACCTTCCTCCCCACCTCAGGAGCTGAGTATTAAGTGGTTAGTGAGAAAGGGTGTCTCAGAGGATGGGGGGAAGGAAACAAACTACAAAGTCAGAAGGCAAACAGGGCTGGCAGGTTTCTTATCTCCGCTCCTAAGGGCCAGAGTCCCAGAGTCCTCAGAAGCATGGGTGGGAGGTTTTGATCTGGAGCAGGGGCGCAGAAGATGGCAGAGGCTGGGGAGGCAGGCCAGGCAGAGGGGGCCACGACGGTGCAGCACCAGTAGGAGGGACTGCCTCTCTGTGGGGGGACGCCATCCAGAGAGGATGGCCAGGAGACCCAACGCCATGTCTCGTGACCCTGTTTAGCACTGGCTGCAGTTGGTTTATCTGGTCTGTGATCCAGTCTGAGCACATGTTCTTTCACGTCCACGGAGTTTCACACAGGGCCTACCATGCACAGGGGTGGTGGGTAGGGACCCCCCGCATCGAGCTGAACCCTGGGATCAAAGAGGAATGGGGCTGGGCTTTGTCTTCGAGGAGTCTAGAAGTGGAAGGAGTAACAAGGCGGGGAAAGACACAGGCCAAGAGATGAAGTGCTGGCACACTACGTCCCATCTCAGAGGCAAGAACAAAAACTGGGGCACCACCTTGGCTGCTGTAGCTCAGTGGATTGAGCACAGGCCTGCGAACCAGAGGATCTCTGTTCAATTCCCAGTCAGGGCACATGTCTGGGTTGCAGGCTGGTTCCCTGCAGGCCAGTTCCCAGCAGGGCACGCAAGAAAGGCAACCAACCATACACTGATGTTTCTTTCCCTCTCTCCTTCCCCTCTAAAGATAAATAAAAACAAACCAAAAACAACCTGGGACACTAGGAACTCAAAGGAGACCCGCCCCTGGGGATGGGAGGCCGTGTGAGGGCAGGAGGCTGAGTGAGCGAGGCCGGACCGTGGGCAGGTGGTGAGCTGCAGGGCAGCCGAGGTGGCAGGGCCTTCATTAGGTCCGTGTCCCCAGGTGGTTTAGGGGGAGAAGCAGGGCCTTGTCTGCGTTAAGAGGGGCGCTCCCAGGAGAGAAGGCAGCCACGGTTCTGTGGTGCTGAGTTCCTGCATTTATCTCTCAGCACCATCCGTCTACCTGATGGTGTGTGTTTTAAAAACTATTTTTAATTGTAAAATTACTAACGTACAGTTTGTATCCTAACCACTCACAGTTCAGCGGCACCAAGTCCACTCACGCTGTCGTGCCACCATCATCGCGCTGTCTCCAGAACGCTCTTCATCTTGCAGACTGAAACCCTGTCCCCATTAAACGACAATTCCCCACCTCCCCTTCTCCCCAGGCCCTGGCAGCCACCACTCTACTTCCGATCTGCATGGATTTGACTGCTCTGGGGACCACACGTAAGTGGAATCATACAGAATTTGTCATTTTGTGGCTGGCGTATTCCACTTAGCGTCATGTCCTTAAGGTTCATCCCTGTTGTAGCCTGTGTCAGAATTTCCCTCCTTTCGAATTTCCACCCTTGTGAGGGCTGAGTAACATTCCACTGTGTGCATACACCACATCGTTCATCAGTTCACCCACTGACGGACACTGGGTTGTTTCCACTTCTTGACTATTGGGAATAATGCCGCTCAGACATGGGTGTATGAATTTGGCTCTGTATTTTGTATATTTCCCTCTATGTCCGTGTTTGTATTCCATTTTTTCTAAGTAAAAAAAAACCACTGAATATTGGCAATTGTGTACGGTTCAACTCAACATACGTGCCTCCACCTACACAGAACCGTGCCTGTGCATATGTCTGTGCACGTACTGTGGTGTTTGTGTGTCCACTTGGCTGTCTTTAACCCTCTAACTGAACGTCAGTCAGTGTGTATTCACCGGCGTGTGGATGTGTATACATACATGTGCGTGTCTCGGTACAGATCTGTTTGTGTGCCTGAGTGCCTGCACAGCGGTGGTCTTCGACCCTAACTCTGGTACAAGTGAGCTCAGCTAAGGGCAGGGAAGGGAAGACTGAGTCAGAGGGACCCAGGCCTCCTGTTAATGAAAGCATGTAAATCAAACCATATCCCCCAGGGCTGCAGGGCTGGCGGCCCCTCCCTCTGGGCTGAGTGGGTAAAGGGCAACCGGAGGGGGACAGACAGCCCCTGGCCATGGGCCTGGCCTAGGGGTGGGGCCCAGGGAGAAGGGAACCACGCAGATAGCTAAGCCCAGACCCTGGCTACAGTGTGCCGGGCACAGGCCCCTTAATGACAGTTATTAAGAGGAAGGAAAAAAATATCTTCCTGTCCAGAAGGTGTGTCAGGCGCCTGCCTGGCATCGTTCTGCCATCCTGGGGGACATTTAGCTTCCTCTCTAAAAAGCTGAGTGGCGCCTGGGCAGGTGACTGTCCTGTGGGGGTGGTGAGAGCAGAGGCTGGGCTGCAGGACTCCAGGTGCAGGCTGCCCTGAGGCCACACGGCCACACACCTTTAACGTGGCACCTCTGGGTCAGGGGAGATAAGACTCCTGGGGAGAAGCAGCCAGGGTGAGGAAGGAAGCCAGAGTGCGCCCAGCTTCCCGGAATCAAAGCAAAGCGACCAAAGATCCAGAGACACAGGGCCAAGTGGCAAGGATTCCCACTGGCTGGCTCCAGTGGGGTTAGAGGATGAGAAGGATTTTGAGATGTGCAGTAACAAGCAGGCTGCTCCAGGCTGGAGGACCAGAGGGGCAGGGGCATGGCAGGGGAGGGAGGCAGGGGCAGCGGTAGGCAGGAAGGACTGTCAGAAGGGCCACCTGGGCACATGTTCTGGCCCCTTCTGGCCCAAAGGGACCCTGAAAGCGACCACAGTTCCCGGCCCTGTCCATGGTGTACGGCTCTCGGATCCGGCCTGTCATCCCAGTTCACGGGAGGCAAGGCCCTCTCTCCACTTCGCACACAGATGAGCATTTGCACCTTTCTTGGGCACTTGGGACCCCGAGGAATGAGAATGGTGGCATTCTGATTCAGGAAGGTGGCTGTGTCTGGGTCTAGACTGTAGACACTGTGGCAATAGGGTGTTACCTTCCCCTCACATCCTTCCCTGTACCCTCTCCATCCCATCACATTCAGTGGCCGGTGATCTGGCCACCCCCCCCCCCCGCCTTCCCTGTCCACCCCACCTGCCCTGCATGCACTCAGTGCCTACTTTAGCCTAGCGGGGTGGTTCCAAGGTGAGTAAGACTCGTCTCTGCCCTGAAGGAACTCAGTCTACTAGGAAAGGTAGACTCATAACTATAAGCCACGGATTAGGCCGAGGTATAAACCAAGTGTGTGGGTGTAGAGCTCATGACCCATTCTGGAACCTTAGAGGAACCACGTCCCCACCGCCCACCCCCTACAAGGGTAACAGCCCCGTGGCAGGCTCTTTTCCAGGTGGTGACTAGGAACTCCCGGGGCTGTTTCGGGCCACAGGGAGAGGAAGAGGGAAGGAGCAAGCCAGTACGGGCCCTGGCCGAAACCTCAGGGAGCCTCTCAGGCTCGTGTTGTATTCCGCACCCGCTGACGTTACAGGTCAGTGAGTGCTTAAAGACGTCCTTCCTTGAAATGCCCTAGGCAGGACTTCTGGGACCCCTTCTTCCCTCAGGAGCAGGAGGTGTCCTTGACCAGGGCGGGGTCTGGTCCTAGGCTCACCAGCATGGCTCAAGGGAAGCCACCTGGAAAACTTGTGAAGGGTAAGTCATCACCCAGCCAGGGTGGGCGAGGCACGGTGGGCCGCAGTGGGGAGAAGGCGGTGAGACGCAGGCAGAACCAGGGCAACGAGTACAGGAGGGCTGCGCCCAGGGGGAGAGTCCGAACACTCTGGGCTGCCCAGCTCCCGGCCCACGCAGCCACCGGGTGCCCTTCCTTCCCACTTCACCCAAATGGCAGAAAAACTAGATTCTCTGGGCATCTAGACCAGCATGAGCGGCCCCTGCCCTCTCAGCCCTCACCTCTGAAACCCCTGGTCCCCCATCTGTCCTCCAAATTCTGGCCTCAGGACATGGTTCCCTCCTCCCCTCCAAAGCGCAGCCCTTGTTCTCAAGTCCTGGCTTCCACTTCCGGAGGGAAATAATGCTAATACTAGTATTCCTAATAGTAAAAAATAATAATAAATACCACCTAACATTTATGAGAAGTTTCCTTCCACTAAGTACTTCACATTTCACCAGACTCCTCCCCTCCCCGCCCACATCTCCAGCATTTCCCTGTGCTGAGGCCTTTGTTTTCACCCTGCTCTCCCAACTCCTGCCCGTCTTCTCCACTTCTTCCCAGCCAGGCACCTCCCGAGACACCTCAGCTGCTGCCACATCCTCTGCGATCTGTATCCTCTCAAAATCCCTGTTCCTGAAATAGTCTCAAGCCCTTGCACTCGCCCGCTTACTCCCTGGCCCCACTCCCTGCTGCACCCCACACTGAGAGCCTCCCCTCGCCTCCGCTCCACACCATCCCTCCTGTGCCAGGTCCTGCCCTCCCTACCCTCCACCCCCGCCCTCCCCAGCCCCTGGTCTACCCTCTGCCCTTCACCTCTGGGAGCTCACCCGGCTCCAGGATTTCAAGTACCCCTTTCATACCCGAGGAAGCCAGTCCTCCGCCTGCCCCAATCCTTCCGAGGCCCACCCTGCCCCATCCCCTTGCCCTCCCTGGGGACCTCTATTGTCTAAAGCAGCGATTTTCAACCTTTTTCATTGCATGGCACATATAAACTAATCATTAAAACTCTGTGGCACACAATATGTTATATTTTTTGCCCATCTGACGAAAGAAACAGGTATACTTTTGGTTCATTCACACTGGATGGCTCCTGTTGTTATTTTTTGACAGTTTAAGGGAAAAGAGGTCAGTGCCCGACTAGTCAGTCAGACACTGCGTGTTTTAAAGACTCTCGTGGCGCACCAGCGTGCCACAGCACACGGGGAAAACCGCTGGGCGGAAGTCCCCCACCAGCCCGACCCCCGTGCAGGCACGGCCAGGCGCACCAAGAGCAACGGGTCGGCTCTGCTCCAGGGTCTCCTGGTGGCAGTCAGTGGTTTCTTCTCAGGGGCCCCGGTTCCCGGGGCGCAGCGGGGGCAATAATCCCCACCCTGTCCATCTCGCAGGGCACTGCAGCGCACACTCGGGGGGAAAAAACCACCACAGAAAGAGGATTCTTCTCTTCAAGCTCCCCTCACGGGCCAGACATCGCCGTCGCCCAGGCGCATCCTGATTTTTCACAGCCCTCAGCTCACAGAACTGTCACTGAGGATTACATGAGAAAGCGAGTGAAAATAGCAAGCAGTGCCTGGCACAGAACAGAAATGCAAAATACATCAGCTGAACTGTGTGGCCTGGGCTTGAATCTTAGCTTCATGTAAGAAATAGCAATTACTTATGATTTTTTTAATTCTAGACAAAATTCAGCCTTCAGGGTAGTATTCACGACACTGTTCAGTATTTCTTATGCAGAGCCCCTGGAAGACACTCTTCTCTGAAGAGTCAGGAGGACGTCTGTCTCCTCTGAGGAGTCCGTGCACGTCCTTTCACGTGCCTTCCGCTGCCAGGAAGCGCGGAGCGGCTGCAGGCCCTGCTGCAGACTCCCTCCCTGGCCTACCAGGCAGGGAGGTGGGGACGCGCGAGGGCCCTGCGGGTGGAAGGCGTGGGCTGGGGCACTTCTGGCCCTTCTCACCCTGGGTGACCTGTGGGAGGCTGGGCCTCCGCCCCTCACTCCCATCAAGGGGACAAGAATGATGAGGACAATACCTAGTTATAGGGCTGCTGGGAGACAGTGTGTTAAAAACACTTCACAAATTACCCAAAAAGTCATATGAAAGTTGGTTATTAGCAGCCAAAGTTAAAATGATCACGTTAGGAAACATGATTATTTTCCTTCTCCTGCCTACCAGTACTTGTGTCTTATAATAAAATTGCAAAACAAAGTTTAGAAGATAACTGTGTCTCAATTTTCTGTGGTCTTTTCTGGAAGTTTACAGAGTAAAAATAAAAGACAAAAGTATTCCTAGAGACCAGTCTCCCCGAGGACAAGAAGCCCTGCCCCTCGCTCCTCTGGTACAACAACGACATGCAACAGGAAGACACTGGGCTACGTACAGCACAGCCCAGGTCTTCACACAGAACTGTGAAAACAAGCGGAACTGCAGGTCAGACTGAGAGAATGGCCCAGAAAGGGGCTTTGGGGGCTCGTTACAATTGGTGATTTAGTCACTCATCCCTTCTTTCATTTATCTAAGCTTATACCAATTGATGCCTACTGAGGCAGGCACCCTGCCGGGCACTGGAAAGACAAAGGCAATGACCCCAGAACGGGGCCCACTCTGAAGAGGCTCACAGCGCGCAGGACGGAGGATGCGGACGGAGGATGCCACCTGGCAAGGACAGGAGAAGGGGGCGCTTGGCAACACGTGGGATTTCTTTCCTAAGGAGAGTCCAGGTAGAGGAAACACACAGGATGGTCCCTCCCGTAACCCCGGTGGTTCAGTTGGTTCAGAAAAGAAATGGGTCAGAGACTCACAAAAACGAGCACAAGTCACACTCACAAAAGCCTTGCAGTCTCTGAGGGACCCAGATTTTATCTTGAAGTGGGGGAGGTGTGGTTAGTGAAAGAGGCTAATGGCGAGAAGGTGAGGGCTTTGGGACATCACAGACGTGACAGACGGATCTGTCCCTCTGATGCACAGCATCCTACACAAGCGGCGCGCGATGTTTGACGAGTGCTCGTGAGGACAGGATGTGACTCTGAGGCCAGGACCTTCTCCTGCTGGAGGCATTCGTACAGGGCCCGTGGGTGGACATGGGCCGACTGGGAAGTCAGCAAAGGGAGTCAAGTTCTGGACCGGGGCTGGACTAAAGGACCTTCCAAGTTCCTCCAAATCAGGGATTCCGTGATTCTAAAGCAAGCCCGGTAGCTGAACCGGGATCTGGGACTGAGGAGCTGCTATGGGCAGCAAATGGGTTAAGGCTCAAATAACTTTTATATATGAATTAATGTGTAGAGTTGGGAGCCAAAATCTGTTCCATTAATTTTTCCATCCATTCCAGGAGCAGTTAGGTACACACAGTAAAGTTTATTTTGGTGCATGGTATACTTCACTCCATTAAAAATAAATTAATCAGCAAATTCCTGCCTGGCTCAGCTCTGGTTTATGTAAACAGTGCCCAGCTGTAATGAGCGACAAGGTGTTATTATCTCACACACACAGAGGAGGCTTCACTCTAGAGCTCCGCGCACGACAAAAGCATCTTAAATAAACGCAAAGAAGGCGGTTTGATTTGTAATGTTTTCATAGAAGTGGGATATACCTCACCCATATAGAGTTTCTTTATATGACTCATTTTATAGCAAGTTAAATGAAGGAAGTCTGATGGGGGAAGGAGGGGCAGTATGGTTCCCCGCCCCCTTTCTTCAATTTAAAGAAAGTCCCCCCAGAGATGACCCATACTCAGAGGGAGGAGGGGACTGGCCCTCAAGTGCCCAGACCAAGGTGGCTCTACAGCACACGCTCCAGAAGTCGGGAAGGACACAGAACGCTGGGCACGGGGCCGATACAACAAAGCCAGGGAGAACGTTCTCCTCTTCTCCCCAAAATCTCATAAGGGGGGAACAAGAGAGTAAAGACAGCATGTTCCTCACCTGGTTCATTGGAGGGCAACAAAGGAACCTTTGTTCTCAAAGCCTCTATCCAAATGAGTTGGGATATGATAAGCCCTTGGCCATCAGGGGCCTCTGGAGTCCCCAAGCACCAGGCCCGGTGGGCTGCGGCCTGGCCAGAACGGTGGCTCTCTGTGAACTGGAGGCATAAGCAGCAGCAGAGACCCTCCCGACCCCTCTCTCCCTGCTCCTGTCTCTGAGCTGCGGGGTTCTCCTCGGCTTATAGCAACCCCACCTCAGGTAAGTTTCTGAAAGATTCTGGAATAAAGAAGAATCATGGGAGAGTTAATTCTGTGTCTTTTAATGGCCAACTCAACCCCACAGCTCTAAGCCAGGGGGCAGAGCGTGGTTGCCTATTTTGACACAGTGGTATCACGAACTGCTCCTAGGCCACAGTGGGCCCTTGGTGGGGGTGTCCCCTTTCTAACACAGCCCATCTCTTCTGCAGCCTCTGGGAAAAGCTGTTAATCACAAGGGGGCTACAGGGGCCGTGGGGAACGTGTGTGCTGGGGAGCTCCTGCTCAGGGCTTCTCTTGAGGGGGCGGACACCGGGAAGAGCTTCTCCCAGCTCTATGCCCTACCAGGTCAGAGTCCTGGGTACACTAGAGGAAAACCAACACAATCGGGGCAAGGTATTTGACAGATGCTGTTCATAGGTCAGTGCAGGCCACTTTCCGCAGGATCCTGGGCCAAAGAGGCACCTCTCTCCTGGTGGTTCTTCAAAGCCAGCCAGCCAGCTGCTCAGAGGGACCAGCCCATCAGAGACCCTCGTCATTATAAATTGGAGAATGGGGCTTCAGGACGCTCTGAGGATCCTTCTCCACTAGAGGGCGCCAGCTCACCTCCCCTGTCAGGAGCAGATCCTCACCGTTCATGGAGTCCAGGTACTGAATCTGCAGGGGTGGGCAGGAAACAGAGGAAAGGTTAGGGCACGAAGATGTGAGGTGGCATAAGGAACGAGCTTTGCAAAGGAGAGGAGCGGGGCATGAGGGCACTCTGACCAGGCCATCTCTCAGGCCAGGGAGCTCTCTGATCTCCCAGATGAGTTTACTTAAGGAGGTTTGGAGAAACAAATCACTGGGAAAGGTAGGGAATTCCCCATTACACACCCAAACAGACACACAGACACGCAAACCCCCACCTGCTGGACTGAAAGGACTTTCTAGGGAGGATGGGTCAGGGAGATGAGCCCTTAGGGTAGGGGTGTGTGTCTGTTCAGAGCAGCAATGAATGGTCCCCGAGGTGAGTCAGTTCCCTTCTCTGAGATTCAAGTTCCCTTGCCTGAGAAAGGAGATAGGAATGCGTACCTCCCAGGACTTATGACAAGATCAAAAGACAGAATGCACACTGCTAGTCACTGGGACATCCTTTCTTTTAAAAACCACGCATGTCTCCACTGTCTTCTAGCGGGCTCTCGCCCCGTAGTTGGCCCTAACTCCAGTCAGTAGGTACCAGCGTCATCCCTCTAGGATGGCTGGGGGAGTTTATCCCCCAACCGGCTCTGCGGCAGGGGGTGCCTGTGATGGAGAACAGGAATGGGGGCAGGGGAGATGTGGTCCGGCAAGAAGCAGGTGATCTAAGGAGCGGCTGAGAGTCTCAGGAGAGCAAGGCTGCCTCTGGGAGGATTCCCCAGGCTGATGCTAATAAGGAGAGCAAAGGATGAGAAATGCTTTCAAGTGGCCAGGCGAAACTAGGGTGAGAACAGGGCCAGAGCAGGAGTCAGCACGAGACTTAGAAAGATGAGACTCCATTTGGGGTAAGAAGGCAACTTGGAGGGTAAGGGAAGGGGCAGGGTCCAGAGGCCTCATGTTATGCCTGGGGATCATGGGTCCCCAGCCTCTGGTCTGCGGTCCGTTCGGAACTGAGCTGCACAGCAGGAGCCGAGCTTGAACATGTGCTTGAATCACCCCCAAACCATTCCCAACCCCCGGTCCATGGAAAAACTGCCTTCCACAAAGCCGATCCTGGTGAAAAAAAGATTGGGGACCACTGCCTTGGATGATCTCCCTCTTCTGAGAATTCCTTCACTTCTGCTCCTCAGCCCGCTGACCTTCAAACTGAACCTGTCTCTGGAATCACTTCAGGTCTAGATTTCTACATGTCCTGCTGTCCCCCAGGGCAAGGAGATCGACTGACCCATTAGCTTCCCCCAAATCCGCTCTTCTCTCCAATGACTCTATTTCTCTCCCTAAGGCCACCCTACGCCCATCTCCTGGGATGAAAATCTCAACATACCCTGACTGGCTCTTGGGGCCATCTACCCCGCCAACTAGCTCCACAGTGCAGGACTGCAGTCTGCTCGGGCCCCAGCTTCCTGGTCTCCCCTGGTCCCCACAGTCAGACTTAGTCCCTCCTCTCTTTGTCACTCCCTGTATCACATCACAGACTGACTTCTTCCAGGGGCAGCTGGTGCCTGACTGATTTCCTTGCCAAACCAGGAGCCGCCTCCTTGAGGGCAGGACTCAGGTTCCTTAATCTCTGCTTTCTGAATAGAGTGCCCCGCACAGCAGGTGCTCAAACAGTTGGGGACAGAGCTGGGTCCCCATCAAAGCGCCACGCTTCCCTAAGAGCCCCATCACTGGAATATGGGACTACTTTTTAAAAAAGATTTTATTTATTTTTAGAGAGAGGAAGAAAAGGAAAAGAGAGGGAGAGAAACATTAATGTTTGTGAGAGATACATCAATCAGTTGCCTCTCGAATGCCCCCAGCTGTGGATCTGGCCCACAACCCAGGCATGTGCCCTGACTGGGAATCTAACCAGCGACTTTATGGTTCACAGGCTGGCACTCAATCCACTGAGCCACACCAGCTGGGGCAAATACGGGACTTCTTATAGGAGCTTTAGTATATCAGCCCCTTCCTTTAGGACCCTGAGAGGTCCCAGCTATGCCCTTGTCATGGCCCCTGGCATAAGCCCACCGCAGCAGATGGAAAAGTTGGGCTGGTCTTTCAGAAAACAGCATTTGCTTTGCCAATTGCTACTCCTGGCTGAGGGCGAGTCCAGTGAACAGTGTGAGTCTCAGAATTCTCTGTGGGTGGAGCCCTCTGGCCACAGTGCCTTCTCTCTGGCTCTGACAGATCTGAAGAATGGTCACACACAGTTCTGGCTTTGGGGGCTCTCTACCCTTTGGGTCTGAAAAGCCTCAGCCTATGGCTTTTCTATCAGTCAACGAGATGGTCCCATCAACTGTCTTCTCCTTAAGAGCTGGGGCCTGGCCTTCCATTTTCTGGCTGTTGGAGGCTTGCAGGCCAGGGACACAGGTGAACAAGAGAATTACTGTGGGGTGAGGCCCCTCCAGCTCCAGGGGCTGGGCCCAGGAAGCGAAGGTGTGACTCATGGGACAGCCTGAGCGGATGAGCTGTCTGGAGCAGCTGAGGCCTCTGGCTGCTCCATGAATCACCAACCAGCTCGGGGTTGCAGGCCAGCTATGCGGGCCTACTCACTGGGAGACCCTGGAAGGGCCTCTACGTTCCTCCTCCCTGCTACTCACTAACCTATTAGTTCACTGATCCATAAAGTGAGGGTTCCCCATCAATGCAAGATCAGGGGACAGAGAGATGAAGAAGTGAATCTGCCACGGAGCTTTCTCCTAGAAACCTGGGTGTCGGGGAGCCCTGGAGAGCCAGGACAGTGAGGAATGAAGTGGGGGGACCCTACTTGACTAGGCAAACTGGGGAGAAGCTTGACGAGTATCTATAGAGTGCTACCTGGAGCCCAGCCCTGCTAGAAATCAGGAGCAGAAAACAAATCCTGGGGCTCAAAGTGGGTACAGCAGGGGGGCTACAGTGGGCGGCTGCACTGTACTCCATGCCCATACTTTACAGGACTGCGTGTGCCAGGAACTGGTACAGCATTTGGGGCGCAGAAAAGTAATAAAATATGCAATGAATGAACGACTAGATGTTTTTGAAAGCAGGAGACTACTCGGTGCCTTTTCTCCTATTCCCTTCCCCCAACACCTGGCCTAGCTCACGGTGGATACACAGAAAGTGCTCCTCATCGGTGCCCACTGCTGACATGATTTGGTCAGAATTCCCTCAGGCTGGCCTCTGGGAACTCAGCCTCTCACGGTCCTCTGGCAGCTCAGCACCGACAGACCTCAGGAAGGGCCTGCTTTCCATGAGACTGTGCAGGGGGAGAAGGGCTGCTCACCTGTTTTCTCACGTATTCTACCAACAGTTCGAGCTGCCGAGGGTCTTCACATTTCTGGTTGAAGAACATTCTCCAGAGGGCAGCAGCCAGCCCGTGATCATCTGAAATGAGTCCCTAGAACACAGAGTACAACGACCGGTCTTCCGGGGAGCATGGGAGAGCCATGGGGCAGAAGCTGAGGACACTGTGAATATGCTGGTAACCACGGAATCGGCTCAAAAGGACACTAGAGTCACTATGGGAAATGGGGGAGCTACACAGCAGAGCTGGAAGGGGTATTCAGAGAGTATCTGGTCCAAACTCTTCATTTTCATACAGAGGAGAAGCACGGAAACCAGAGGGCTGCGTGACTGGCTAAGGCTGATGCAGAGTTGGGGCTCATGTCTGGTTGACCCTCCCAAGCCACAGCTCCCTCTACTCAGCACTGGTTCCACTGCTGTCCCCAGGCACAGGCTCGAAACAATTCAAGGTATATATTTTTCCCCAAGAACAGAGGTGGGCGTGGATTGCACCTTCTCGCCTGGTCCAACGGCACATACCTGCAAGGCAGCTGGCCCTTTGGGGAAGGAAACCAGGCACCTTGGCCTCAATGCCACCCAGCTCTAGACCTGCCATGGCTGGCCCAGCCCCTCTGCCAGCAGAGAAACAGGCAGTCCGCCAGGATTGCCACAGAGGGACCGCGCAGAGCCTGTGTGCACGTGTGCCTACCACTGTCTCTCCCGGCACAGAGGAGACCTCTGTTGGGGAGTCCAAATATCACAGAGGCTAATCAGCAGCTGGGACACGGACCAGGACCATTTTCTAGCCTGGACCTCTAAGGGAGGGGAGGGCGGGGGAGGGTCTTGCTTCCTGGGGTAAGGGTGACTAAAGGGAAGGGCTCTGAGAGGCTGCTCTGTCCAGGTGCCAAGGCAGCGTGTGGAACCAGATGAAGTGCTGACCTGGAGTCAGAAAGCTGGATCGAGCCCTAGCTCTGCCTCTGCCAGGCTCAGAGATGGCAGGCAATTCACTAAACCTGAGTCTCCAACTTCTCAACTATAAAACGGAGATGAAAATGTTTGCCCTCTTCATAGCATCCTTGAATTATAAACACAAGACGTAAAGATGTTTTGCTGAGTGTAATGTGTCCCATACAAAGATTAGGAGCTTGCGTTGGCAGGCACTGTGGACAGTGGGTGAAACAGTGGGAGCTGGGGACCAGACCACTTGAGTTCAAACGGCACCTCTGTCACCAGATGGCTGTGTGGCCTTTGGAAAGCTACTAGCCCTTCCTGAGCCTCAGCTTCTCACTGGCTAAACAAGCCAGTGATACTTATCTCACTGAGTTGTGAGGATTAAGAGATCATGGCCACGATGCCCTGGCTGGTGTGACTCAGTGTGTTGAGCACCAGCCTGTGAACTGAAAGGCTGCCAGTTCAATTCCTAGTCAGGGCACATGCCTGGGCTTCGGGCCAGGTCCCTAGTTGGGGGTGTGTGGAAAGCAACTAATCGATGTTTCTCTCATACATGCATGTTTCTCTCCCTCTTTCTCCCTCTCTTTGCCTCTCTCTGAAAAATAAATAGTATCTTTAAAAAAAGAGAGAGAGAGAGAGAGATCATGGCCAAGAAAGACCCTGTAAATGGCAAATCATTACACAAAGACCCAAGACCATGTATTTCACACATGTTGTGGGCTGACTGTCCAGGGCACTGCAGCATATGAGGTCTGGCTTCGGGTCCACTGCCAGGAAAAGCCACGTCCCGTAATAGTCCACCTATTCCCAATGCCCCTGCTGAACATCCCTACAGTTCCACCAGTTAGAGACTGTCCTGGCACAATGGCTGAATCAGGAAAACCAGCTTCTTCCAGTAGATGGGGACAGGAGCCAAGGACAAGCTCAGGCGCATCACCGTTTTCCAAGCCATTTGCTAACACAACAGCCTGCCTGTGTCTGAAGTGCCCTGGGCGCATGCCGAGTGCTGCTGGCAGCAACCCGCCGGCACTATGCGGGAAGGAACGGGAGTGCGAGCGGGTGTTGTGAGGACTTGGAGAGCGAGCACAGAGCACCGGGCAGCAGACGCCTGGGGGCCATGGCCTGCTGCAGACAGGTGGCCTTGGCGGTGGGCGAGATGCTGGGAAGGGGCAAACCCATCATCAGTTCCTGGGTTGTGAAAAGGAAAAGGATGTCTCAAGACTCAGATCAAAAGCGGTAACAGCTTGACTACACTGAGTTCCTTCTCACACCTGGTTCCTGATGAGCATGGATGTCAAAAAGAACAGATATTATTGTCCCCATTTGAAAGAAAAGTACAGAGGCCTAGAGGTTATCTAGCTAATTGGTGGTAGAACTAGAACCAGAATGCACTGGAGAGGTCAGAGGCCAGTGCCGCCTAGATGTAGTTAGGATGCACTACCTGGCACACAGCGGAAATGCAATACATGGTTAAATAAGTCGACAAACCCAGCGTCAGCCTTCATCCCACGTGCTGCTGCTAGTAAGTCAGCGGAAACAAATGGGAGACCGGTCTGTGAGAGTGTAGGTCAGACCAAGGAAGCAGGAAGAAAGGGTGCCTTGGGAGCAAATAGTCGGTTGTGTGGCAACTTTCCCACCATCTACTAGGGTGCTCACTTGCTCTCTCTCTGACAGAAAAATGGAAAAAGGCATCCTTCAGGAAACAAAGACACCTAGGTCTAGAGTAACCGAGGGGAAGCTAAAAGGGACTGTCCTGGCACGAGAGGGCTCTGGTGATAATTAAGGGTTTAGAGTAGCAGAGTCTCACCCAAGGAAGACTGACCCGACACCACGAAATGCTTGGCATGATGCGAGGAACACAGTCAGAGCAATGTGGTCCCAGCTCACAGGCCGCCTGCGATTTAGTCGAAGGGACAAAGCTCATGCACACTGAACAGGCTTAAACCCTGGAGAATAAGTGACCACTAACCTGTACAGGGAGACTGCGGTGATAATACTCTGTTCACGGCTGGCTCCCCATTGTGGAGTCTTAGCTTCTGTAACTGTTCAGAGAGAGACCTTCCCACACTAAGCACATTCCCCATTATTCTCAATCATGGTCCGCTATTTGTAATTAGATACTTGTTTACTTGTTTACTGCTTATTTTCTCATTGGAAGGTAATGGGGAAATAGTAAATAAGTGGGGAAGCACAAGACCATCTTTTTTTTTTATTCACCAATATATTCCCAGTGCATCACACGTGGCAGGCACTTAATAAATACCTGTTAAATAGACGGGTGGATACTGAGATTCAGAGTCAAAGACAGAGACCTAGAGAGGTCAGGGAGAGCTCTGGGGAGAAGCGGGGCCTTTGGGGATGGAGACTATATGGAGAACTACAGGCCACTCTAAGCGGGAGAGAGTCATTTTCGTTTACTAAACACTTACAGAGGGGGTGCCTACAAGGTGCCAGGCCTGGAGCCAGGCCTGCAGGGCCAGAGCTGACGGACTCGGCTACTGCCCACTACACCTGGTTGTCCAGAGGAGCCTTCATCAGGCGCAGCTCGTCTGCGGGGCAGTGAGGCAACCGGCCTCCCAAAGGCAGGAAATGGGAATAAACGTGGACAGAACATGTCACAGTGCAGGAAGGTGCACAAGAAGCCTGAGGTTCCTTTGGACCAAATGTGTAGCAAACAGTGTCCGGGGTGTCCAGGGTGGGGGCACAATCCAAGCAAGAGTCTGGGAAAAGGGTGCATCAGTACGACTGTCCAGCCAAAATCTCCGCGATGATGGAAAAGTTCTACAGCACTGTCCACTCTAGTCCCGCCACCCACAGGTAGTACAGAGCACCTGAAATGCAGCTAGTGCAAATGAGGAACTAAATGTTTCATTTTAACACATTTAAATAAAAAAGCCACATGTGGCCAGTACTGGACATGTGGTCACACGTCTAGAACCGTGTGACTCCCAGTGTGGTCTGCAGAACTGCTGCGCGCATCACTCAAGCTCATTAGCAATGCAGAATCTCAGGCCTCGCCCCAGACTTGCTGAGTCTAAGTCTGAAGTTTACCTGCACATTAAAATTTAAGAAAAACTGTTCTAGAGTTGCACATTAAAATTACCCAGGGAACTTTTACAACTATAGATGCCCACCTAGATCAGTTAAATCCAAACTTTTGAGGGATAGGGCCCAAATACTGGTATTTCTAAAAAGCGTCCCAGGTGACTAACATATTTCTCAAACTTTCCCACTCCTAACAGTCACCTGGGGCACTTGTTGGAATACCAGGCCCCGCTCCTACTGAACTGGAATCTGCAAAGAGGTGCTCAAGAATCAGTTATTTTCTACATTTTATTTCTTTATTTTTACAGAGAGGGGAAGGGAGGGAGAAAGATAGGGAGAGAAACATCGATATGACAGAGAAACATTGACCAGTTGCCTCTCATTTATATGTGTCCCGACCGGGGATGGAACTCGTGACCCAGGCATGTGCTCTTGCCAGGAATGGAACCAGTGACCTTTGGCTTTGCAGAATGATACCCAACCAACTGAGCCACACCAGTCATGGCAAAAATCAACTTTTAAAAGTACCCCAGGGGCCCTGGCTGCACGGCTCAGTCGGTTGGAGCATCACCCCATACACCAACAAGGTAATGGGTTCGATCCCTGATAGGGGTACATACAGGAGGCAACTGGTCGATGAATCAATATGCCTCTCTTTCTCTCTCCCTCCCTCTCTGAAATCAATCAAACATAACCTCAAGTGAGGATTTTAAAAAAAGCACTCCAGGTAGTTCCTGTGACCAGGCGTGTTTGTAAGATGGCTCTTCCAGGACGGCCCAGGATGGGGGACAGAGAAGAGATACAGTTCAGAAGATCTTTATTAATACTGGGGGAAGGAATCAACTGAGCCACCTGATACGAAGACTTCAAACAAATGCTAATAGCATTGTTTCTTCAATTCTAAGCTTCATCTTTTAAAAAAGATTTTATTTATTTATTACTAGAGAGAAGAGAGAGGGAGAGAAACATCAATGTGTGGCTGCCTGTCGTACGCCCCCAACCCGGGACCCAGCCCACAACCCAGGCATGTGCCCTGACCAGGAACCGAACCGGCAACCCCCTGGTTTGCAGGCTTGGCTCTCAATCCACTGAGGCACACCAGCCTGGGCTAAGCTTCATTCTTTTATATACTGTAAGGTCTCTGAAATCGGAATATATCTCATTTAACAACTAATGTGTAGAGAGTCAAGCATATTTCTCAACTCCCATCCCATTCCCAGAAAGGTCATGTTAAATTAATAATGCCTGTGGTATATGCAATCTAAATTGCTCTTATAATTGAGGCTGTCTAATGGGTTGGGAATCAGGAAACCTCAATCTTAACCAGTCCTATAACCCTAAGCAAGTCATTTAACTTAATCTTTTTTGTAAGCTCATCTCCTGGCTTTAATTGTTATCTTTAGGCTGATAACATTTCCTCCAGCCTGAACTCTAGTTTCTTTCATCCTTTCACGCATTTCCTCCCTTCCTTAGTCTTCATCTACCCATGCCAGGTACCATGCCAGCCAACAGAAATACAAACACAGCAGACACTGCCACGACCCAGAAGAAATCCCCACCCAGCCAGGATGGCAGTTAACACTAATGCAGCCAGGCCTTGGAGTCTGGGGAGGGCAGGGTGAGCTGAGCCTGGGGAAGCTCTGGGACAGTTTCCCAGAAGGGGCGATGCTTACATTAAATCTGGAGGTAACCACAAAGTGAACATAAAAGCACATGGTTTACTAAAAAAGATGAGGTATGATGAATCTTGGTGGTATACACACAGGTATTCATTATACCATACTTTTAACTTTTCTATGTGTTTGAAATTTCCATAATAACAGTTAGCGTAAAAAAGATGAGACAGATGCTACAACACGGATGAACCTTGAAGACATTATGCTAAGTGAAATAATCCAGACACCAGAGGACAAAACCCGTGTGATTCCACTCACATGAGGTATTCAGAGCAGTCAGCATTACAGAGACAGAACGCAGAATGGTGGTTTCCAGGGGCCAGGGGCGGGGGCAGAGAATAAAGACAGTGTTTCATGGGTGCAGAATTTCTGTTCGGGAAGATGGAAAAGTTCTGGAGATGGACAACGGTGACTACTGCTCAACAATGTGAATGTACTTCATGTGACTGAAATGGACACTTAAAGACGGTGAAAATGGTTAAAATGTTACGTTATGTGTATTTTATAATAAAAAAAGAGAGAGATCTAAGTGTTCTGATGTGGAGGAATGTCCAAATACATTGCTCAGTGAAGAAAACAAGTTGCAGAACAGTGTGTATGGTGTGAGTCCCATTCGCATAAAGAAAATAAATACACGGAGCTTGTGTCTGCCCAGAGGACCTCTGGGAGGACACCCAGTCTGGTGTTGACAAAGTTTCCCCTGGGGCAGGAAAGTAGGCAGGCTAGGAAAGCAGCCTTCTATTTTCTACTTCAAACACTTATGTACAGTTATATGAATTCTTAAAATGAGTAGGTATTGCTTTTATAATTAAAGACAGAAATAAGTGTGCCATTTGCCTGGCAGATGGCCCTGTTTACGTGGTTCGTCTTCCTCTCTCTGGGGGCACCTGGGGCTGAGAGAGTGACTGATCCGCCTTAGTCCCTCCATCCAGCTCCCCACTGGCACTCAACAAACGCCGACCAGTGGAAGGGTGGGCCCTTATTACATACTGCTCTGGCTCCCAAGCACAGACTCGTTCACTCTAGTTGCCACTGAAGGCGAATAAACACTGAGCCACGAGGCAGGCAGGTCGTGAAGGCCACAGCAGCCGCCCCCCGAGGTGCTCACCACAAGCCTTTGTTGGGAGAAGCCACTGTTCCGCCCGAGGCTTCACAGATGATCTTACCTCATCATACCCCAAGATTGCTGCATAGAAATTATTTGTCATAATCATCATGTTCTTCTTCAGGATATAGGGATTAACCTACAAGAAACAAAATCGCAAAAACAAAAGCATGAAAGAAGGGAACAAACCAAAAAGTAGGATCTTTGGTTTAGCTGTCAAACACTCGTAGAACAAAGAGAGACAGCCCCCTAACAGGTCAAACTGCCAGTTCACCCCATGTCCCTCATCTGTCAGATTTTCCCCAGTCTGACGGCTTCTTTTAGGTTTTGATGCCAAATTACGCAAAGCAGTAACGCAGTTTAATGAGGTTATGATGTCAGGCTTTGTGCTGGATCCCATGAACACAAAGTAGAAGAAACAGTTGCTTGACTGGAGGAGCGCACAGTCCAGCATTAGAAAACAGACACGTAACAACTGCCGGTGACCCCTGAACAACGTGGGTCTGAACTGTGTGGGTTCGCCTACACGCAGACTTTTTCCCCAGTAAGTGCCTGTACTATTTTCCACCCACAGGTGAGAGACTGCGGATTAGGGGGGCCAACTCTACGTATCGATCTACACCAATTTCTATAGGGGACTTGCGCACCCAGATATGGGTATCCACAGGGGGTCCTGGAACCAATCCCCCGTGGATACTGAGGGTAGTGAAGCTTGGGGAGAGTCAAAAGTTATACATGGACTTTCAGCTGCACAGGGGTTCAGTGTCAGATCATTAAGGGTCAACTGTAATTATCCTGCAATGTGTTATCTCAAATTCTATTCCAAAGTGGTGAGCCAGAAATGAATTTTGATACGAATGATCTCTGCTGGGAGGACTGGGGAAGAGTGCCCCAGGAGGCGACATTTAGGTGGACCAAGGAGGAGGAGAAGGCTGACAGAAGAGAGTAAAAGGAGAAGAGGTAACATTCTAGACAGAATGAACACGGTGTGCAAAGGCGCAAAGGCAGGTAAGAACATCTAGGGAGTGACAAGAGGGGCGAACGGTAAGGTGTGTTGGGTCTGGTTAGGTCATGCCCCAGGGATCATCAGAAAGAGCTGATGTGGTAAAGGGACAGAAGAAGGTAGTGACAGACGTGGGAACAGAAGGGGGAGAGGCAGGACGCTGAGACACTGAGGAGAAAGGGGGACTCTGAGGCCATGGACAGAGGAGAGAATAAGATGGGCTGAAGCGCTAAGTTGGTTAAGATGAAGACACTACTTCGGAAATGCTATTCCGGTGAGACCGTTGAGACCCTGATAGGATTCCTCTCAGAGAATGGCCGGGGGGGCCTTCAGAGCCTAGAGTGAAGTTCACTGAAAGTCTCCGACAGGGTCAAACTTTGACCTCCAGACCTCCAGATGTAGCTCAAGGGCAGGATCCAGCTTTCATTCCTCTCCGAATCCTACATTACAGCAGAAAGCCTGATGTAATGTGTAATACGCAGTGGGACTCATTAAATATTTAAGCTGACAGGTTTTAGTAACAACCAAAAGTCATGTGGAACTTAATATGGAGAATAAGATCTGTGCTTAACAACCCTGACCATGGCCATCATTTCTCCCACTCACTGAGCACTGGTGAAGGGGCGGGTGCTTTGTGGACATCATCTCCTCTAACTGTCACCAGAACTCGGAGAGGTAGATGCGCTCTAGTCATGCTTTTATAGACACGGAAAACTGAGACCCAGACAGGTGAAGTGACTTGCCCCAGGTCCCACCACAAATTAGTGCTAAAGCCGAGAAGGAGCATCCAGGTCAGTCTGATCCCCGAGCCCACGGGCCTTACATTCTATCAGGTTTCTGCCTACGGGACGGTCATTTTACTTTGGACCATAAATCAATCACTGAGTGATTTAATCTTGTGGTTTATAGCAGGTCTCTGAAGAAGGGCAGAGAAGAACAGTGAAGGACTTAGTCAGAAAACCTGGGTTCAAGTCATAATTCTGCTATTACATAGGATGCAATCTTGGGTAAGTTAAGTAACCTCTGAGTCTATTTCCTTATCTTTTAAATGTCTCAGACGCAGGGCTGGTTTGAAGAGCAAATGAATTAGCATGTATTCATTCACTAATTCAACAGTGTATGCTGAAAGCTTTAGCAAGTTATAAACTGCTCTATAAATTCAAGGAATTATGAATAATACCTTTTTGGCCTGTCTGCATAAAACTAGAATCAATTCTAATGCTTTATAGTCATGAATAATTTTCAAAAAGGAAAAGAGAATTGTGAAGCTTAAGACCAGAAAATGTAAGACTAGATGCAGGCTGGTAGCACAATCCATGACCTTTCTACGCCACCTTCACCCCAGGCCGAATCAGCCCTCCATCCTTTGTGTTTCCAGAGCTCTCTGTCCACACTTCTCCACGTGGGTGCAAACATGGTTTAGAGTTGCTTATGTACCTGTCTCTCCCACTGGTCTATGTGCTACTCAAAGGTCATAAGGGACTCTGGCTGATTATCTCAGCACCCCCAGCACCCAGCCCAGGCCTGGCCCCGAGCAAGGTTTACGACTGGAATGCTGATGACTGAACCCTCACAAGGACCTGATTGCCACGCACAGCATGTTCTATCCGGCGGTACCCATCTGTCTGTTTCCTTTTTTTGCTTCTGAGTACCTTGCATGTTTCTGAAATTTCAGAAACATATACCGCCAAACTTCTACTGCCTCATCTTTTAGAATGGACCAATGGAGCTAGATTTAATTCCTTCTGTAATGTGAGGATGGGACTACAACCCAGACCTGTTGATATCTGCTTTGGAGCTTTCCCTACTTCCATACTAGCTGTTTCCCTAATTGTGCAAGAAGAACCAGAGCCATAAACAGACAGCGTCAGAAATGTCAAACATGAAGGAAGGAGCATCTCTCAGACGTAAACATTCACTGCATCTGCTCACAGAGCTGGTTCATGTGTGGTATCAAACCAGTAGGCTTTGGAGGTGGAAGGGCCCTCAGAAATCGCCTAACTTAGTTCCTTTGAGAAAATGGTAAACTGAGACCCAAAAAGGACAAGCATTTATCCAAGGTCACACATTTGGTGTTAAGAGTCAGGATTAGAACCTGATTTCTAGATGAGTGTTTTTTCCTATTTTACCATCTGCAGGATGTTTCCAGAGATCATCCACACATTAATCTGCAAACCTCAGTTCTTGCTTTCCTGCAAGGTCTACTTACATATGAACACATTTTCTCCTCTGGGATGCACCTGCATTCTGGCTGGCTATTACCCAGCAAGAGTGGAGAGCAGGAGAGGAATTCTTCACTAGCAAGGCTCTTCTACCTCTTTGTCCTATATCCTAACTCCAGTGACCTGTCAGCTGCCTCTCCCCTCCACCTCTAGCTGAGAAATGGCACACTGCCCCAGCGAGAGATGGTTTTCAGATATCGTCACCCAGGCTGGATTAGATCATGAAAAGGGCCCTTCCTGGAAGAGGGTGGAAGCTCGATTAGTGCAGACACATGATATGCAGGCAACAGGTGAGAGTAAGTGAGAACAGCTTCCTAACTACTGGACTCACCCACTGGGCCCTTCTAGCCAGCCCAGCAGCCAAGGGGAACTGGGTACTCCTTCTGGTGAGCCCCTGTTGGGGTTCTACTCTCTCACTCAGCTCTTGTTTGCTGGTGTGCAGGTCCTGTGTCTCCACTGCAGATCATTCTGCGTGGAGCACCCGGTCCATGAATACACAGATGGAGAAACTCCTCCCAGATAGCACCAGGCCGTCTCCTCATTAAACGCTTCTCCTTTCCATAGTGCTGGACTTTTTCTTTTTTTCCTCATAATGCTTTGCTTTTTATGAAAACCCATACATACAGCACCACCACAAGGAAAAGGTTCCTTTTATATCAGTTACTCATATTTTCCCATTTATTTAAGCTATTAAAATTCATGCAGATATTTTATAAGCCATCAGGATTTGGTGACTGGTATTACTGAATGTTTAATAATAAACTAAACAGAAGAAATCAGAGGGTTAAATGATGACTGCAATTCCTGTAATGACTTAATTAAATTTTTATTGAGTACATAAACTATGATGTCATTTCTAGCCAACCATGGGTGTGCTTTCCCAGCATGTCACAGGGTGGGGGCACTCAATAGGAGGCTAGGCTAAATGAGCAGCAAGTCTCAGCTGAAATGGGGAGGGGAGCAAGGCTCATGTAACGCACTCAATAAATTATCCGTTCATTTTTAAACAAAGTCCATGAGTTATAATATATTTGCCATGCACTTTTTATGACATAATAAAAATGTTACCTTAAGGATTACTTAACACATACTACAAATGTTATAGCAGAGGCAGGCACAAGGGGCAAAGAAAACAAACATGAGCAGGCCAGAGACGGGTCCTGGAGTTTACGTCCCGGGGGGAACAGCACAGTATATTAAAAAGGGAATGCAAAAGAGGGAGGGGGATGCAAGGGTTCAGGGTCACTAGTCGGCAGATGAATGAATGAGACAACCAACAGGGAGCACAAGTAAAGCAATAATGAATCTTCCAAGGCACATGTTTAATTAATGTAGTATTTCTGAGGAGGAATATTAGCTTTAAAGAGATGCCAGTTCATCTCAGGCCAATTCACTGCCCTTTCCACTTTTTGCTGTTGCTGCTCTTAAACACATTTATGTGACTGCTTAACAGAGAAGTCTGATTATGTAGATGGGGGTACTGATGGAAGATCAAGTTTAAACTCCTCCACAAGCTCTGCAAGGTTCTTTGTGATCTGCTCTTGGTGGTTTTTCCTGCCTCACCTCCTCCTGCCTCTCCCCTTTTACCTCGTCCTTCAGTCAGAGTAAACTGTGAGCAATTTCCCCAAACATGCCATGCGCTCTTAGAGCTCTTCAGCATCCTGCTGCTGGGATCCTTCTCCTTTCCTTACTCAGTGGGGTGCTAACTCCTTCTTCTCCAAGACTCGGCTTACAAATTATCTCTTCAACAAAGCCACCACTCTCCCTAGTCTGCAGGTGCCACAAAAGTGATTTGAGTCCAGAAACTGTTCACTGTGTGTCAAGAAATATGCTAAGGGCTTTACATATATATGAGCTCATTTAACCCTTCCCAACAACTCTGTGAGACGGGCACTATTACTGTCTCCACTTTAG